GAAGCTTCTCATGTTACACCCCACCAGTATCACTAGTAAAAGGCACTTCTCATTTCACAGATAGCGAGCACAGTGCACATAGAGAAATCAATAATGTGCTTCAAATGACACAATCAGCAGCAAGGCTGGTAAGACAAGAAGAAATTGGGAATTTTATTTTCCATTATAATTAAAAGGTACAGCTTTTCACAGTGAAATTAGAATCCAATTTTATTTTTCTATTTTAAAAGTTTTTATTGCAGGGGAAAGAAGCGAGCAAAGTTAAGTTCAGTCAAAATGAAGGTAAAGTAAAAAAATGTGGGAAAGGAACTTGTAATGGGACTTGTCTGAAATCAGCGCCTGTGCCAGAGAACACCCACATACTTCTTGGCTTGGACACTGAGGTGACCAGAACCTCATCACACCCAAGCACCAAAGGACAAACTGTCAGCAGCCAAACTTGGGAGCACAGGCTCGCACTGGAGAGGCAGACATCAAGTTAAACCACACGTCACAGCAAACGGGTAACAGTCCTATTTCAAGTCTTTAAACTCAAAGCTTTAACCATCAAGCCATGTTGCTTGCTGATTAGCAAAAGGACAGTTAACCCAGACCCAGAAAGAAAAGCCCAGGGAGAAGCAGCAAAAGCCTCTCTGGCTGCGCGTTGTACACTGTCTGCTGTAAAAATTTCACTTTATGTGGAATTCACCAACAGCTCTCCCCTCTCTAGAGGAGCTCTCCTGACTCGCCTTGGTTTCTCTTTCACTGAACCCACCTGTGGGCACTGGCCTCTGGACTGATTCCAGCTCTTCAGCATGGCCCAGTGAATTCTACAGTCCAGCAGAACCAGACAGGGCCACGACAATGAAAAGCAGCACACTGCAAAGACTGACACTCAGCTGGAGATGTTCACCAGCTGTTTCCAGAGACTGACATCTAAGCTAAAGAACATTTTCCTAAAGCTTCACTGTAGCTTTAGTTAAGAGATTTGGCTTAACTGCTTCTGCCTGTGAATCCAAAAAAACTATAGCAGGAATTTTTTTTCTTCTATTTATAAATGCCTTTTCAGATCCTTTCATCACGTTGTTTCCTACAATCTCTTCAGCTTTTGTCAATCACTTTAAAGACATCCGACTTAGCATTTTTTTTCACGGTCTACTGAACCAACAGTTACACTTTTAGTCACTATTAAGGTCTGAAACCTGTTTGAAAACATCACTGAAAACCAAGGTAAAGTCTGGAATTAAAACCATGCAGCTGAACAGGATATTGTGCAGGGTTTTTCCATCTCCAGCTTCCCCTCAGGGCTGTTTTGGAAGGTTGCCCACTGGTGCTTCTCAGTTACTGCTAAGTTGTTTTGGGATTTTTTTCCTCTAACGCAAACTGAATGGGTCAGTTCTTCCCGCAGAGCTGTCAGACCAGCAGGCAGCAACTTGTCTAAGTCTCCAATAACACCTTTATACCTGAATGAAGAATTACACCATGGTACTCATCACAGAGGTTTCTTGAAACTGGCCACCTTGGGGACAGAAGGTTGTTATTGGAGAGACGCTGAGAACTCAGGTTAGGAAACTGTTCCTTCTTCTTACAAAAGCATGGCAAGCTCTGCACTGGGAAGCTCTACACCATCAGCTCTGAACCCAGATACTCATCTACAGGACTAAGAGCAGCAAAAAGAAAAGCTTTCAGACTTCCTCTGCAAGTGTATCTGAGCCCTCCCTAGAAGGGTTAAATTCCTCTCCCTACAGCCTCCAAATTTTGGCCTCACTACCAAGACTGTAGGAGGCTCATGGGCAAGTACACAGTGAGGGAACTTCGAGAAGTGTGGTCATTAAGGTGAAGTTCACCAGTTTATTTCCGAGGATCCCAAATTAGCAACTGAACAGCAAAAATTGCTACTGATCTATGCATGTACACATCTGTCCTGAAAACATGGGACTATTAATGCGCCAAGACTTACAAGTCCAATAAATACACCACAATTGCCCTAAAAATGTCAAAATATGTAGGATACAATAGAAGCTCTACAGTATTTATCACAGATTCAGCACAAACAATGTGATGAGATAATATAATACACGGGGTGTGCGTACACAAAATGCAACTGCTGGCCACTTCAGCATGTCAATAAGATTTCTGGAGAGTGCTGCACTCCAGCAGAGATTCTCTCTGCGATGATGTACTGATTTGTCACGGAAAGTCAAACTCTGGGCATCTTAAACTACCTAAACAGAAAATCAGGTCAATTTGTGAGTCACTATCTCTGGGGACGAAAGGATCCTTAAATTACTATTTACACATACGTGCTCAGAACTGCCACAGAGCTGAAGTGTTGGACGCACTTGAGGGAAGAGTGAACTACTCCGTTTTCCCCCCTTGCCTTCAAGTTATACAAAGCTCCACTGTGTAGCCAAAGAGCTTTGGCACTTGTGGACTTCCCAAGCATTTTTAACAAGCTTCCACTGAAGAGCCTGAGGAAGAGAGAGTATTCTGCTTTCTAGACAAGGTCAGCTGGGATATGGTACAAGCAGCTGAGGGTTTGCTTTCAAGTTCTCAAAGGGCTTCTGAATTCTCACCTTCCCAAAAACATCAAACCAACAAACCGTCAGAGTAGGTAAAAGGAAGATCCTAGTCCTGTATCTGTATGGCATGAGAGCACCACGGGCTTCACCACTGCAGGAGCCAGAAGTGCTGTGCCTCATTCATCAATTTCCTGCACTCCAACAGGAGGAGTGGTGGCGGTGAAGTCAATTTATTGACAAACTTTAATCAAATTTGAAAAAGAGATGTACTGACTAATTAACATGGTACCACACTCCCCACAATACACACTGAAAGGGATCACTGGGGATATTGAGGGCCTGGATGATTATGATGGGGCTGAAGTAATAAGATATTATGTGAACCAAGGATGTGAATACATTAGAAATCAAGTTTTATTAGTCCCCTAGTGAATACAACAATGCATTTAATCTTGTTACATTTTCACTCTCAATAGCAGCTTGTAAGTAAGAGCTAGCCTAATGATATGCAATGATTCCCCCCTTTAATCTGTTTTCAATTTGCCATTTTTCCATTTCACAGAACGTCTCTCCATTCTACTAAGTGAATAGTGCTGAGTTGTCAATACAGCATATAATAGACAAATTGAGCTGCAATATTATTTGAATCTAAAACCCAAACCATATATTATCACACTCCCAATTCAATTTTAACAAAAAATCAAAACATACTCCCAAAACAGTATCAGCCTTAACTTTCTGTCCACAAGTGCATAACGAACCCAGGAACTCACTAACTGATCTTGTTAAAAGATAGTTAGCTTAGGCACCTGAATCACAGGACAACTAACTCTTACTTTCCTCTCCAATGAATACTACTCTGCATCTGTCGACTGAATCAAGTTTTACAACCGTGGAGATTCACCCAGATGGATTAGATGCTTCACACTTTCATGGTGTTCCGCAAATCCTGCTAGTTTCTTATGCACTTTTACTCTTTTCCAAACCATACACTTAACACAGGCCATTCCCCAAGATGAAAACTCAAGCTCCTGCAGGTTTTCTGTTGCCATGTCCCCTTTATGATTACGATACCCCAAAACTTTTCAGCTCCTTCAGCAGCAGCCTATGCAAGATCTTCCCAAATATTTTTGCCTAATAACCAGTCGGGTCTTTTTAGAATGGTTTGTGGTAAAGCAACTGAAAATTGACAAAAGCTCTTCTCCTTCACTGCGGTCTAGTCCGACCATCAGGTTACTACAGGCCAGATGGTTCTATTATATTTTAAATTATCATTTCAACAACATTCAGCAAGTGTAGTAAAGCCTTCAATTCCAATTCCCATAAACATCTTCACAGCAGAAGTACAACATTTGGTAGTCTTAATCCCTTTTAACAGTAAAATGGTTTAAAGCTGAGACTGCAAATACTGTTAGCAACTTAAGTTACTTAACAGTAGGGCTGTTAGTTTTGACATTCAGCACAAATAGTTGTTCTGAATAGATGGCAATAATATGTTTTATGCCCAGTGGATCCTCCTCCTCCTGAGGTGAGGCACCTAATTTCTCCATCCTTTGATATTAGGAATGTCTCCACCCTTGGAGATATCCAAACCTCAAAAAGACAATTCCCTGAGCAACCTGATCCAGCTGGCCTTTCAAGTGACTCTTCTGACCAACACGGTTCTGTGACACTCATCTGGCATCAAGCTCAACTGAAGCAGGCAGAAGCCAGAAGCAAAGCCCCCAGTAAGGCACAGGAGCATATTAGAATCAGGTGTCCTGCCAAAGGAAACTGCTTATGGAGCTTCCTGCCTCTGCTTCTTCTCCCAGTCCTCTCCTCTGTGTTCTTTTATACAGTTAGGTGTGTCACAAACGGGAGAATTTGAGGCAAGGATTGTTTCTGAAGGAGCAGAGATCTATAGGCATAAAAAAAATGTCCAAGGAAATACAAACAAGCTAAAGCCATGTGAAAATCATACTTAGTGGCAGCTCTGTTTTTTATACTAGAGCTTGGTGTGACTATCTCCAAGGATGGAGACTCCACAGCCTTACTGGGCAACTTGCTCCAGGGTTTGATGACCCTCACAAAGAAAAAAAAAAAAAAAAAAAAAAAAAAAAAAAAAAAAAAAAAATCTTTCTGTGTCCAGATGAAATTTCCTGTGTTTTAATTTGTGCCCACTCCCTTTTGCCCTGTCACTGGATACTACTGAGAAAAGTCTGGCTCTCTCTTTTGTACCTTCTTTTTGGGTATCCACATACGTAAGATACTTCCCTCCCAAAACTGCATCTCCACATCCGGTAGAGGCAAAAGCTATAAAACAAAGCTGCAGTCCAAGCAAAGCTCATCTTTCTAGCAAGCTGCTTCTGTTTGATAAGAAGCACCATTATAAACCACTACGTAACACAGACCATCCATTACACCTTGTGCAAGTTTACCTGGTACTACCTCTTGCCTCTGGTTTTAATCTGTTCTGAAGGGTGATTAGCGTTAAGGGGATTTTCTCCTTCCAGCTCTTACCTGGCTGTGGTGGGTGAGGTGGTGGCATTTGGTGGTGCATCATAGGGTACGGCGGAGGCTGCTGATGAGGCAGTAAGCCTGGATGTGCTGGTGCCCCAAGGGGGTTCATCCCAGGCCCAGCAGAGTGCTGGTGTGACTGCTGTGGGTTTTGACTGTGCTGCTGCTCCATTTGCTGACGAGCCCTTAATTCAGCATATTTCAGCTGTTCCATGTGAAAATTCTGGCGTTCTGTCAGCAATTGTTGCCTCTGCTGCTCTAGCTACATCAAAAATAGGGGGAAAAAAAAGACAAAGTGAAGTTAAGAACTACACATTTAAAAGCTGTTTCTGCAAATCAAACACTATCCTCTTGATACAGCTGTCCGATTTGCAGCAGGTTTTGGTAAAGGATCAGGCCATTCTCCAGGTAGAACAGCTGAACTCCCCTTGTTTTGTCCTAAAGAATCTCTCAGTAATACAACAAATCACTCAATGAGTACTGTGCAGAGCATTCAGCTGTAACATAATTCTAGAAGAGACTCTATGTTTTTCTCTCAATCTCCTGCGTGTCAGAATGAAGGGAAACAGGAAACTAAAGAGATTTTCTCAGGCAAAACCAAAGCAGAACATGTGTGCACCAGCACAAGCTCAGTGATCACAGGCAGGAGGATCCTACTCTGTATCTTTAAGTGTAGGACTTGGACATCACGATAGCCAGACAGCAATGATTTGCACTATTAAGAGGAGTATTATGTAAAAACAAACTCATGTAATTTAGGCCACTTAATATAAAACATGCTACTTTGTTTAATTATGAAGCCAAGTAGAGAGTAAGCAAGCCCACAATGAAAAGATAAAAAGCTATGGAAAATATTTCTTACTACTGGGCATTTAGATGATCGACCACTGTCCTGGTTAAGGAAGTGTATGTTTGACTTATTTAAGAAATCATAACACACTTTTCTACATCTATTGCTCTAAAGCAATTGGACACATGGATTTGCGTGACTAGTTCACAAATATTGAATGAGTGTTTTAAGAAATACTCCATGAATTTATCTGAAAAGCAAGTTGCCAAGGAGACTTCCACCTAGCAGAAGTTCTCCAGAAATCCCAAAGCTCCATCAATACTTTGTGCTAGCAGTCTGACTGCTGACAAAGCACGGATGAAAAGAGAATACCACAGAGCACGCATTCACCAACAGAACCAGATGGGGACAGAGCCTCATGAATAATACATACTCCTTGTTGGGGGCTGGTTTTCTGCATGTAGGGACTACAATGTGATTATTCATGCTGCAGTGACTCCTTTTTCCTTGACCAATCTGATACGTTAGCGGGAAGAACTTGATAAAATGAAGAGGCATGTACACCAATGGTGTAATTGTGCATGTGTGGAAACACATTCAGTAGGTGGCAGGCAGTTCAGAGAAGAATTACTGCAAATGACCCATAACAAAGGCTCAGGCAAGAAGTACGGCTACACCACACTTTTTATATTCCTTTTATACTCTTTTGTATTCCTGCTTTGTTCTCTTTATGGTACCCTATCTTGCTACAGTTTAAAAAAAAAAAAAGGTCTTTACAAGTATCCCCAAAGAGCATCCAGTGCCTGAAGATACAACTTGTACTTAGGAAAACCAGTGAAAACTTCCCTTCTACACATTCCTTCGCCTCAGGATGAGAAAAGACAGTTGGACAGAGGAAAAAGAAACATAAACACAAGTTGGTCTTAAAACTTATGCAGAGACCAAAACACCTGGTTCTGTACTAGGTTCTTGCATTTGTTGTAGCCATTTCTGAAGCAGGTTTACAGTTACAGCCTGCAGGTTTACCCCTAGATTAGCGTTAAGACAACTGGTAGTAACACATTTTCTGGTGGGCTGTCTATCAGTAATTTGCACTTGCTCTTCAACTCTCAAAACTCAGTTATACCTGCAGTGGATCTCAGGCACCTTAATGAAGAGCAGCACCTATCAGTTTGCCACACAATCTTCCCACACAACCTGATTCATGAGATCAGCCAAATTTTTAGGTACATAAGTCGGGAATACTACACTCGACAATCTTCAAACTTGCAACAGCGTGTTTTTGCACTGTTGCAAAGTGATTCGCAAATAAAAGGGGCTACTACAAGTGCTTAATGTATACCCATACAATAACCATCACTGTACTACAAATTTCATCCCCAGCAAGTAACTCCTCCCTAAACAGAAACAGTGAAGGAGGCATTCATGTGCTATTAAAAATTTTGGGGCAACAAGGCTCCTACCACCAGGATCCCTGGTTACACACAGAGTTGGCAGCACTGAAATGACTTCAGTTTAAACCCTGAAGTAAATGTGTTTTGCCTAAAATCTAACACCCTCCAGTCTGCAGCACAGATTTCTTTCAGCACTTAGAATCGCCTTACTTTTACTACAAGAAAAAGCCAGTGCAGCAAATAAGGAAATAAGCATAGTGTGCAACTGCACTAAGGAATTTTTTTGCTTTAATTATTCCACTACATATCCACAATGACAGGTGAAAAGACCAAATATAACTATCAGGAAGCCAAGGGAAAAATTTGTATGCCCATTTTAAAAAAGGAAAATGTCATATGCCTCAAAATGAAAAAAAAAAAACACCACAAACCAAAACCCTGTCACTAATAGAATATAACCCCGAAAGAAAGGAACCCACAGAGAACCTTTTCAAAATAGTTAGGTCCATTTCTTGAGCTGCCAATCAGTGTCAGAGGCAAACATCACGCTGAAATAGTTGAGGATGCTGAGCAATTGAGAAATTCTTGCTGACATTCTGCTACAACAAAAGACCACAGTTTGTCAAACTCTATCAATGTGATTAATGCCAAAGTGAGGATGTAAATTCCATTAAATTCACATGGTAGGGTAAATGTGAAAACCCCTAGAATGATGAGTCAGCATCTTCAACCCGTCTAGAGTAATTATGTATTGACCAAAATGAGCAAGGTAGGTGACAGAAAAATTAAAAAATTGACTGCTTTCCGATAAAAATGAAGGTTTGGGTCATCTTTACAGTAGCTGGAGAAACTGCTGCTCTGGAAGTATATGAAAGAATGCTTAGTAACTGATGCACAATCCAGCCACCGAGAGGCAGAGACAGCATCCCTTCCACGTTACACCTTGATTTTAGGGATACACAAGACTCCAGCCAGATGTCAATAACAGTGTCACAACATAAATATGATCCTGCTTGGCACGCACTGTATGTATGTTCTCTTAGTGTCATTAACTCCTTCAGCTGGCTAGACCTCAATTGAGACCTGTGCCCTGGCTAGACCGAGGACAGAAGCTAACAACCTTCTTGCTTAGCTTGCCTAGCTCCTCCTACTCATCACACTTCTTCTTAGATCTGTCAATTTAGCTTTCTTCTATTTTGATATTTTTCTGGTCCCTCTGAGCAACCACCTTTTCCATCTCTTGATATCCTGGCTTCCTTGACTTCTCTTGAACCTGCTGTTGCTCTCTCCAGCTCAGGCAAACCCATCATCACAAAACCAGAAGCTGTTACTCCTGAGCAAGTATCCTTCTGCTACTGCATCTCACTTCGAGGACCTTTCCGTGCTGAGAATGCTGTCCAAACAAAACCTGAACTGCTTGCTTAAAACCAAATCTCTAGTCTAAACTGGGTCAGGAAAGGCAGACAGAGCTAGTTTCCCTTCCCTTAGGGAAGTAAGGTTTCCACCCATTTCATTCTCTTTACAGGGAAAATCCATTTGCATGTCAGATATCATTCATGTGATAAGATCTACATAAAGGCTCACGACCAGTTCCACGATCATGTTTAGATGACAGGAGCAGGAAATTAGGAAACAAATCTAGGATATCACCAGTTTGCTGCTTATGGCAAGGAGAAGATGCTAGATAAAAAAGGAGAGGGCTCAAATGCTACTGTAGTGGGTAATTATGAATTCTAGCTGAAGGAGAAGTATCTGCATAGAGGTGGAAAACAATTAAAGTTTCTATTTTTCAAGCTGTTAGTATACATAAATCTTTGCAGTGACTGATTTAATCCAAAAACCCTACTTACTGCCTCTTTCTCTCTGTCCATAATGGTTTCCAACTCTTCAAAATGGCGAAGTTTTATCTCCAACTTCTTCATCTGCGTTTCCACCAAAAGGGCAACCAGGGACTTGATCTTTCTTTCTTCCACTGCTGCTAGGTGCTGAGGATAAAACACAAGTTTTTGCGTTACACACATTTCACAAAATAAAGTGCTGTAAGGGAACAAAAAAGCCAACTGTGCCTGCATCTAGCTTTAGCCATCCTATTGCACTTCTGGACAGAAAACAAGGCCTTAGATTATCAAGTTTATGCTTGGAACAGGAAGCCCTTGAGAAATTATTAAGATTTTAATCAAATAAATAGGTGTCAAGCTTTAATACAAGAACCATTGTGCATGCTCAGTACTCGTAAGCAATCCAGTTTTGCCTCAAAGCCTTCGGAGCGCTGCGCAACAGAGAGCACTTTCAGTGGAAATGCAAATGAGGGAGCAAGGGTGCGTTCTACGGAGTCAGATGTAGGTCATCCAAAAAGCTTTCACCAAAACACACACAGAAGACTTTTACCTGGAACGACCCACAAAGACAGTGAGATGACTCTTGCATGCCTTTGCCATTAAAGTATTTTTCACTCAAGTAAATGAGAAGCTATGTATCTAGCTAAGCATATCCCCACTACACACAGCACCACACCATTAAACCATAAGCTTTCTCAGAGCAACAGTTCCACCTTGGGCTAGGGAAAGCTTGCAGAGAAATCTCTACACAGATATTAGAAGAAATTTTTTTAAAAAAATCTCCAGTTTCTTTTTATAACCAGGTTGCAAAGTATTCCTCTTGCTGAAGAAAGCTCAAGGCAAAGCTGTATTTAAACTGCAGAAAAAGGCAAATAGACTCTTTACAAGGCTTTAGCTTTACCCCATTTATACATACACATAAATGATACAGGATATATATATATGTATGTGTGTATATGTGATATATGGTGACAGCCTATAAAAGTGTTTCACATCCTCCAAGTGTGAAAGGCATGTTAATGATGCTTTCTACTAGCTTTTGGTAAAAGCCTGCTGTTCAAAATGAAAATACACTCAAAACACACCTCAAGTGTACTGCCTGGGAATTTCTGTATTAATAGTCAAAGGATGTTTCCTGACCATAGTGTCTGAGCAAAGCCTTACTGACGCATCCAAGGGTGGAGGGGGAAGGTGAGCTGGCTTTGAGAAGGGAAAGGTGAGGGCCAAGGGGAAGAAGGAAAAAAGAAAAAGCTGGATCTCATCCAGCTCAAGCTGCAAACAGAGACTCATACTTAGCGAGCTGTGCCCCAAACTTTGGCTCAGAACTGCGAGAAATATGGAGCTAGAGAAAAGAAACATTATAAAACTCCCCAGTAATCCTAATTATAAACATAATTTCTCAAAAATGTACGATATTGTTTCCATCGCTAATATGTTCTGTCATTTGATAGCATTCACCTTCACTAACCCACCAGCAATAAAGCAAGTCTTCAGTAAATCTGAACATACGTCATAGGCTCTCACTAAATTTAAATTCAGAGAGAACTGGGGTGATTCCCCTAAGTTCATCTAACAGCACGCCACTTTAAAATGCAAGTAGGCTATTCTGTTAAATACTGACCAGTGGTGTATTTGAAATAAAGTAACTGAATGGCTGACAGAACTAGAAAATTTCGTGTCATTTAATGCTGTATAGTGACAAACTCATTTCTGTGAAAAATCAGAGTGACAGAAGTACCTTTGTTGTCATACACAGCCTCCTGACAGTCATTTCGCCTTGCTTGATGCATGCAATTTTAATAGTAAAACCAGCTTAACATAAAATCAGCAAGCCATGTGATTCGGTAAAAGACAGGTCTCAAAATACATATTAGAAAAGAAATGAAGTTTTTCCTAGAGCCCCAAAGTGACTGCTCCTTAGCCAGGCATTACATACTGCTTTTACATGGATAAAGAACAAGTCATTACTAACTCTGCGGCTCACAAAAAAATAGTATGACAAAATGATTAGTGATTTGAATTGCCTGATAAAGGTGGATGCAGCAACGTGTTTAAGTAATAAAGAAGCAAAAAAGAAGATGGTTTGGGACATTATCCTGGGACACAGCAGGCCTGAACGACCTGAGCATCACTAAGTCAGACAGCAGACCTGGCCTCTGGCTGAGAGCTGGTACAGAGCAAAGCTTTGGTTTAGTATTTAAACACGGGAGCCCTAAACACAAGTATAGCCAGGAGCACCTCTGTGCCTGGGCTTGCGCCCATCATCACAATACTGACTAATTTCACCGCTCAGAAATTTTATTTCTGGGTGAATACTGTTAAACTTGGGAGGAGGTTAGCTACTGACCTAGCACACACACATTACAGACACTTTCCCAGAACCTAGCCCATCCTCTAATCTTCTTAAACGCAGCTTTAGCTGTGAAATTAGCTAACCACAGCAAGAGCAGGAATGTGACAACTGGTATAGACAACTGGAAAACTAGACCACCTCTGGAAGATGGGTATCATCCTAGCACCATGTCACTGGAATACTGTGCTGAAGTCTTCTCACCCACACACAAGAGGTTAGCTGAAATTACAACAGGCAGAGAAGAATACTCTTTCTTCCTTCTCTTGTCCTATTTTGTGAAAGGAAACGAGATGTATCACCTAGCTTTTGTACTGTGAGGCCAAGAGGGGATAAAACCGTCTTTCACAAACGAAACAGAAGAAATAAAGGTGGCAGATAACACAGCACTATCTAAATTAAGGCACATAGCGGGGAAAAAAGTAAGTCCTGTCATGCATACATTCAAGCATGAGTTGAAAAAGGTCCTAGAGAAAGTTTCTAGAACAGCAAAAGGAACCAATTAAAGACTTCATTTGATTTGCCTGTAAACAGAAGATGGGATGTAGCTGCCTGCAAAACCAAACATGATTTCAGCAACAGGGTCCCTTCTATTCCTGAATTTTACATTTCTAAATACCTGCATCACATGAAAAAGGTGGTTGATAACCAAAGGCTTTTGAATTCAATAGGCGAAGGGAAGTGCTGCAATGGTACAATGGTTAGTCGCTGAAACACAGACTAGGAATAAAGCTTAACAGCAGAGTTTACCATCCATGGAAAAACTTACTGACAATTACAGGAGGTTTTGAATCACTGGCAGTTTTGATTATCTAGAAAAGATGTATTCAATCACAGCTACCTCAAAAACAGGAATTCAGGGAAGTCACGAGATCAGTGTTATGTAGGAGGTCAAATTATGACCAGGACAGTCCTTTTCAGCAGTGTAGGTGATGGATCAAGAGCTACAGCAGAAGCTCTGCAGCTCAAGCACAAGTGGACAAAAGCCAAGAGCAATCTGCAGGAGAAAGAACATTTTTCTATTGGGTGCTACTTGAGCATAGAAAGAAAAAAATAATGGCTCACATTGATTTAGGAATCTGAGAAGAAAATGACGAAAAGGGACTTTAATTCTAGTGCTGTTTGTACAGAAGCCTGTAAAAACACATTTAAAATCGTTGCTCTACTACATGTAGTAACAGAGTCACACCCCAAAATGCACACATTCACTGGATACCATTTCTCACATAGTGCAACTTACTGGGAAAGCCACTTATTCCAAAAGAAAAAAAAAACCCAACCAAACTTCCAGTGCCTGCCTTTAACCCCTGTTTCTCCTTAGAAGCCAACTGCAATATTCTCTAATATAAAGTCATAAGGAAAACAACTTTGTAACAGCTCTTTGCATGACCAGGTCTTGAGTTTATTACAAAGAACCAAATTACTCTCTCAGACAAGATCCAGCTCACTGAAAGCCTTAATATTGTCTGGGTTCTTAAATGCAGGTGGAAAGAGAAACCCTTCTTGAACTTGAATTCTACTCTGAAGTGTGAACATCCTAATTATATAATTTCCTGTAATATAAAGCTTAAATTCTTCTAGAATATTACCACCACCATAATGAAAACTGCCGTTAGCCAAGTCCCTCCTCCCTCTAGCACTCATTATCACCAAAGGAAGGAAAGTAGGAGATAATCTTTATTCGAAGCAAGTAGCCTTCCAGAGATTAAATTTAATGCCTCCTTATATATATATGCAGAGGGTTGTTTTTTTTTTTCATCTCGGCTGAAAATATCTGCAAGTCTGTTGAACTAAATTACTCTCAGCAAGACAGCTTGGTGCTTGGGTGCAGATAGGCAAATTGATGCACAAGGGAGTCAGTTAGGGCTCTGCACTCCACCAAAATAACCAACCTGAAGCTTGCCTATGAAGGGGGATTCCACACAGCCAGGGTGCCTCACTCTGACGCTAAGCAACACTGAATTCATGCAAGTTGTGATTTGAGAACCTGGCTTGAAAGGTGGTAACTAAAAATATTCTCAAATCTCAGGGGTTCATAAAGGAGGGACTGTACCATCCTGACAACACCTATCATCACACTATCCTCAATATGTATGATGCAGTCAGGAAAAAAAGTCTGAAGTTATAAGAGTCAAAGATCAGACTGGAAAAGTCAGTACAGCACACTCAACACCTCATTATGTCTACCATTACATGTCCTGGAAATCCATCAGGAATTAAACACCATCCATGCTTTGCTTTTGGTATCTATAAAGTAGGTGACATGAAACATGGCACTGAATCCAAGAGCAATTAAGAAACCCAAACTGCAAATCCCCCAAAAATATGTAAAGAGAAAACAGATATGATGACAGAAGTGAAAGCAGTCTGGTTGCTGCAAACAGAAAATGGAAGACAACGTGCAATTAGTAATTATAGGTTAAAGAAAGGCAATTAGATAGGACACTGATTCAAACCACAGCTCCTTAAGAGACTGCAGACAAACAGAAGTACAATGATAGAAAGAACGTACTTAACAGACACATGGTACCTCTTAAAGTAAAACCAACACATTAAGTTGCCTATAAAAAATTGTAATGCTACAACTGAACATCACATTGTTTTTACAGATAAAAGAGTCCAAGCACAGGAGGCTTGTGTGACATCCACAGAACAGCTGGTGGCCCAGCAAAAAAGGCAAGGGAAGGGTTTTGTCACCCAGGCCCATGCCCTCAGCAGTACAGCCAGACCTATCAAGCAGAGAAAAGTCTTTCCAAAAAATGACAAACACATTTTGGGGCTATTTCTTAGTCATGTTAATCGACGTCATAATCATAAAAGTAGCTGCCTAAATTAAAACGATGCTGTTTCACTCAGGAGTTCATGCAGGAGAGACTGAAGGCAGCATTCGTGCTCCTTCAAGGTACTAGAGATTAGAACACGAAAACACTCAGATCTGGAACAAAGGACCATTTTAAGAAGAGTTCTAATGTGAACTGGAAACCAAGCCAATGGATATTTGTATAAAACAAACCTTTGCTTTGGTGGCAGCTGAGGCAAGGGCAGCAGCTGCAGCTGTAGCTACGTTTCCTTCCGAGATTTCATGTTCCACTTTCTTCTTCCCAGCCTCGTTTTCTTTGTCTTTGCTTGCATCAACGTTCTCCTTGTTCTCTTCTGCCTCCTTTTCTTCTGAAAGAGATTTCCCACCAAGTCCATTACGTGCATTCTTCCCATGTTAACAGTATCACATCAAGACAGGAATTGCACCACGCATGCTGCTATTAGTCAAACAAATTAACTCATCCACATGCTGTCATATTCCTGTGTTACAGTACTGCTACTTGTCCACAGATCCTAACAGGGGAACAATTCTACTCTTAGAGGATCTGATCTAACAAACAGGGCAACTTTTAAGTGCTTTTAGCTTCCATCCTGTCAATTCACCTCTGCCATCAGCATACTCTCATCAGAACAATTTCAGATGAGCTTCCAAATCAACTCCATTATTACATCAAATCCAAATGCTTCTTGTTCCACCTGGTGCTAAAATACTGAATGTAAGTTCCAGGAAAAAAAAAATATCCATGTGGTATAAGTGAAACGTGTTAAAAATAAATAACAAGAATAATGTCTTATGTAGAAAAAAACCCCAGTACTCCTCAGCCTGTCAAAACAAAGGCTCTGCATCACTTCACAGGGAAACTGAGCTACCATATTAACTTCTAAGGGTAGAAGTGAGCAGTCCCATTTCTTTTGCATCAAAAATGATCAAATGGTGTGCAATACAGGCAAAATAATATAATTTATAGGACCTACATGCACTTTGCTACTGCAGTTTCTTCACCCCATCACTACACAGTGAAAGAAAGCTCAGCTGAGGTCTAAAATGAGTTCAGGAAAGAATTTAGCACCTGAGCTTTGCAGGGAAATTAAACTAGAATATTTACTACTGAACCATGAAGCAGCCTGATGTGCAAGAGCAAATATTTCTGCCACAGTTGAGTTTATAGTCTATTCCAACCACTTTAGAGAAAGGCTATTAAAGCTAACACAGCTTGAGGAACAGCTGGGAACCATTACCTGGCTTGGTGTCTGCAGTCACTTCGCTATCTTGCTCTTTTTCTGGATTCCTCTCATTTTCTCCTTCTTGTACTTTATCGCCTTCCTCAATTTCACTCTCCGCTTTGTTTTCCACCTAAATGGGATGAAAGATTGTTGAAAAATGAGAGCTACAGAAAACACTGTTAACTTGGTTTATAGCTTTCAAATTAGTTCACTATCATAAGGGAAAAGATCAAATTTTAAAGGTTGACTGATACTTAAGCCCATTTTGACAACTGCAACTGAAGTCTGAATAAACAAAGTAACTGCTATACTGGACAAAGTCCATCAGATTCCACAACCCAGGCCAACCTGGGTTCATCTGAAAGTACCAGAAATCCTGAACTAAGATGACAGACAGCTTCACCCCATGCTGCCCTCATTTATTCTAGTAGTTTGTCAGTAAGTGTTAAGTATTGTATCATCTCCAGTGTCTGCTATGTTAATATTTATACACTATTCACCTATCCACACAGCTCCAAATTCTGCAGAACTCATGGTCACAACAGCCTCCTGTGGCATAAATGCTACAACTGAATTACATGTTACAGAAAAATGCTTCTGTCCAGGAATAGGTGGAAGAGAGCAAGCAGCAGCTTCACGTTTAACACCGGAAACATCATTTTCTCCTTGAAAATACTCCAGATTGACCTGAACCTTTCTCATTTGCTCTGCTCTACAGAAAAATGCATCTTTTCAAGCTCTGACCCAGTCTTCTATGCTTACCTCTACCCAAGTGTAGCTATTTTATCAGAAATGCAGCAAAAGAACTACCTGAAAACAACGAGAAGGAACATCAAGAGTACACTCAGCAGCCACTAAGTTAGTTTTATCTCATTCATTTGATGAAGGAGGAATATCACCTGTTGCTGCAGACTCAATAAGCACCTACCACCATTTATTTAGTAGGGTGATGTTCTAATTCCAGGATATTAGTTTAATTCCAGCTCAGGTCTGAAACAACCACAGCCAGCACCATTATTGTAGACTTCCTGAAAAGAGGTACTGGCTGTGCAGACATGGTTATGGAAAAGCCCCAAGCAACTGCATTCTTGTAGGCACTACCAACAGGTTGAAGAAATTAATTTCAAAATATCTGATCTTTATGGGCAGGATGCACCATTCTTGAAAACAAGAGCACACAATGCACAATAACAAAGAGTTAGCCCAGACTTCTTGCAACGAGGAGTTTTATTGGCCAGCTCAGCTACAGGCAGCCAGAGCTCACCCTCCCATGTCCACTAAGCTGCATGTGTTTGCACAGAACAGAAAGATAAAATAACTTGCATCGTCACCAGAGAGCTGCGATGCAGCTGGGGCAAAGGTTTCGTTCAGGTTCCCTGTTCAGCTCCACATGCCATGGTTGCCAAATACTGCAAGTAATCAGAACTCGCTTTCCTGAAAAGCCCTGATCTCTGATCTTGGCAGAACCAAAAGCTGTGTGGAACTCTGGGAAGGCAATTTGTCACAAGACAAACTCTTACAGGGCAAGACTTCAAAATGATGCTTGCTTTAGACCACTACAAGTCATGAACTGTAACATACCAATGTCCCTCTGCAGATGAAGTCTCTAAATCACTTGGTATCACCCACTTTACATTACCTTTTTTCCTCAGGATTAAAAAACACCACACCAATGTCTCATTGCCACTTGTGCAGCACAAGAAATGTCTCTGTATGCTTTGAGACTAAATCACTCCTAAGAAAATGAAGCCCTATGGAGACTGAGAACTCTTCCCTACGGACATACACTGACCATCGCACTACCACCTACCTTTCTCCAGGCATTTTAGAATGTAGTAATTTAGGTTTGTAAGTGTCAGAAGTATCTTTTCGGAATCAGTGTACTGAGCCAAGCTTACCTTCTCAGACTGTTGCCCATCTGTCTCTGTTTCCATCTTTTCTTCTTCAGCTCCTTCTGAGAAAACAAGCAAGTATTTAGAATTGCAATATTCAACATTTATTGCAGGGTTAACTAAAATTTTCTGTTCTCTAACAACAGTGGTTTAAAGAAAGCCACTACATTAAACTCCTGGAAGAGTAAAAGCTTATTATGCTAATTTTAGTTTAAAAATCAAGTTTACTTGCAAATTAAGTTTAACTGGTTTTTCTTTTCGGCCCAACAAGCAGGACAAAGCATTAAATTATCCACGCTCTGCTGAAACCTCCAGTTTGGAGAAACCACCAAATCTATCAATTTTAGCTACATAAAGGACAGTTCAATGGACAGTTCTGCAGTATTCCAAGTCATTCAGTAATTCCCATTTGTAAGTCACAGCATTATAAAAATGTTTTTCCTGATACAGCCAATTTGATTCTGTAGATGGTTGTCAGTTACGTGATTAACCTCAATTACGGTGCTGCCAGACTTGTAATTCCTCCTTAGCATAAGATCCCCTGAGCTGCTTTCGATGAAAGGTCTATCCAGAGGCATTGTCATGCGCTGTGGGTCAGCTCAAGATTTAAATTCTATTTTGCAGGTGGTGCAAATACCAGAATTCTCCAAAGAAGAATTATTTTGAAGTCTGCAACAGTGGAGTAAGCACTAGCAAATTTGTTAAAGCACTAATGCTGTTCTTAAACACTAAGGATCTCCTGTTATTTCTGGCCTCAAAACCACTGGAGTTGAAGGCAGCAAGCACTTATCCTCCACACTGGTTTGATGTGAAACCCTGGACAGCAAAACCTTATTTCGCACCCTTCATATCTGGTGTTTTGCAAGAGCATGATGAGCAGCTGGTTCTCCAGTCCTGTGCGGCTCCAAACTATATTTCTCCCAAAAGCTCTCTGAAATTGTATCCAAGCCCTCTGAAATACCATCAAACCAAATGTTTGAGTCTGAACTAAACAATGAAGCTTAAATCAAAAAAAATGGCCTAGAAGGTATAGCCCTATGGCAGATGTTCCTGGACAGTGCTCTCACTCAGACCTTGATCGTTCATTCTCCTGCTTCTTCCTCAGCTGTAATGAGATCAGGAGTTGTGCGTTTGTACTAAAAAATGGATCAATTAAATGAGTTAAACCCTAACACTTGCTTCACCCTCTCACTGAAAAAAAGCTGTATTTCAGGACCTCCTCAAGAGCCCAACTGCAGCTGCCTAGTTAGGGGCAAAACAAGATATGAATCACATCTGAGCACAAGAACTGGTTGTTGGCTAGATATAAGGAAAGAAAAGCACATAAATTACCAGCTGAAAGCTCTGAGTTTCTTCTGCATCCAAAACACAGGCAAACAAATGAGAAACAGAGCTGAGGCTGAACGAACACACCTCCTGGCAATGTTGTCACAGGACAGACTGCTCAACTCCCAGCTTTTTAGAAAACATGCTTTCCAAGATGCTCTGAGAAAAACAGAGCTGATTTGCACCTTCAGTGCTAATGCTGAAGAAGATAACAGCATTGGGCGAGCTCTTCCTTCTCCCCAGCGCCTTCATGTACTGCTGACTGACACTGTAAGATGTGCAGGGCTCTCGAGAAAACCACCAGCTGGGTTCTCTGGGCAGTAAGATTTTCCTGGACTTCTCCAGGAGGTGGAGCCTCAGCCTTACACCATGACCTGAGTCTTCAGAGGAATTGCAGGAGACAGCTTCTGCCAAGACTGGCTCCGAGCCAAGGCTCCCGTCCCAGGGTCATGAAGTACTTCCTCACAGAAAAAGAGACGTGTGTGCTCTGAAGGAGACCTCTACAGAGAGCAGAGGCAGCTCACCTACACCACTGCAGCCTCCAACTCTGAACTGGTCATCAAAAAATCTCCAACTTCATGAGAAGCTAAAAGTATGTAATAGGAACTATTTGGACACTTGGCAGGTTCTCACTGTTGTGGATGCATGGGTCAGGACAGCATCTGCTGCCTCTTACACCTTCACATTTGGAACCCGGAACAAGTCTGCCAGATGCCCTACCACCACATGTGAAAAAACCTGAGAGTCAATACACAACTGCGCACTTCCTGCTACTGCTCATTTTGTTTGGGTTGGTTTGTTTTGGTTTTTTTTTTGGCTGACTAAACTGAGCTTTTCAAGCTTGTAACCTCTTATTTACTGTCTGCTTGGCATTCAAATACCTATTACAGAGATATCTGAAGAGTTCTGCCAAAACGGAGCCAGGCATCCTTGCATTACAGATTGCTTTCTGAGCAGCAGCTGACCAGTTATTATCCCATCTAACTTCAGCATCTACAACAGAAGACCAGTCTAACTGGCATACAAGCAAAACTAAAATGAGGAAGGAAAAATAAAAATAATAATTAAAAAAATCACTGGTACCATGTGCTAGATGCATGCACCTCCTAAGAGGTGAGTATTTTAACAACAGCTAGCATATTCTTGTGCTTAAGACACATCTCTTGCTGCCTAGCCCTTAGTTCATTCATTATTTCGTTACAGAGCATCTATTTAAAGTGGTCCTGCTAATGACAGCAGGCCTCAGAGATAAGAGTATAACCACCACCATAGTGATGGAGAGTGTCATGCAGGTGTCTGAATAATGTGCTACCTCCTAATATTTTGTATTTAAACAATATGGATTGTTTAAAGGCCCAATTTATTTGCAGCACTCAGCAGTTCTGCAAGAACAGACAAGAGGGAAGCATCAATGCAATCTCATACTCCTTGTCTAGGATCTTCACTTTCGCAAGAACAGAAACTCTAGTACAATTTAATGTACAGAGGCATTAAAGGAGCAGCTTATTTAGATTAGGGACTTCCCAACACATGCTGCCATACCAACAAAACTGGTGGTGAAAAGCGCTGATCCATCTCTAAGCTTCTGAAGCTATCAGCTGGGGCTGGGTGCTCATTTTTGGTAATCCTCATTTTACTGGCAACTCCTATGTGCTACGGAACAGGCGTACAAAGTGTTTTACTCTAATAGGAACGGTTCCATAGAGAAATTTTCACAAAACTCCCTCATATGTAAGAAAAACACACTAAAATGTCTGATCGAAATATAATGGTTTTACTCTTGGCTTATTTTAGGATGATAAACCTACTTATCTGAAGTATTTGCTACCATAATCCAATTTATGGAGACTGGGGACGTACCTCCTCAGAAGTTTTATCTCAGAGGTAGGATTTAGTGACCTAATGATGTCACAGGGAAAATCTAGATTAGGTTTTGTCAGACAGCAAGCCTAGGAGTAAAGTTCCAAGCTGGGCTTAAAATGTCATCTCTCCTAGTAAATGAAACAGAAAGCTTTAGAAAGTTTTATTCTCTCCTTTAGCAAAAAAAAAAGTGGAGACCAAGTGCAGAACACTCCAAGTGTGCTGGGGTTGTTAGAGTGGAAGATCACGAGCTCAAACTAGGAAAGCTCTACACATGAATACACAAGTTTTCATTTTGGTGAAGCTTCACCCAAACACCAAGAACTTCAAGATTCCTAGTACTGGGATACAGTGTAAGGAAAGAGCCTACAATTTTGTATAAACAACCCAAAACTTAACCACAGGGAGAAGTGGAGCAATTCTGAAGTTCCACTTCATACAAAACTCCAAGTCAGAGTGCAATAAGTCAGAAAAGTTCTACCCTGTGGACAATTTTCAGACAAAATAGGGAGGCTTCTGCCTTTTAAAATCTCATGACTTGATAATTTCTTCACTCTTCTGGAAGATGGGAACCTAGAGCTCAGGCTCTCCAGTCTAGAATCAGTTGAGCAGAGACTCAAGACTCAGCATCCCATAGTAGCAGGAAGCATCTTGAGCACTGGGCTACTATCTCCTCTGTTGAAGTCTCCTAGTCCAAAGGAGTTCCCACAGAAACCTCCAGCTTCACATTTATACTCCAAGGGAGGAGGAAAAATTCCCCAGAAAATTCTCATCATGCAACTGCACAAGATTTGCTCAGGAATGCAAACTCACAGGTGACAACACTTCTTGCTAGATTCGGAACCACATTTGAGAGAAAACTGTAAGTGAATAATCATGCAAGCTGCCCCTAAGCATGCTACAAAATAAAGTTCTATAAGACACAAACTTTCCTCCTCTACCCAAAAAAGTCAGTTTGTTCTTGCGCCTTTTAGTTCAGACTGAACTCCTGTTCAGTCTAAACTCAGTTTTGAATGTGGGTTTTGTTTTCTGATTGGAGCACATTTCAAGGTTTCCCATCTTAAGGTAAAGTTTTTCAGAAAAGCAGCACCCAGCAATGTGTGAGTCACTGCAATGGGTGAAGATGTGAGCACAGGACGAATTTCTGTAGGTTTACAACGTGCTACACGTCAGGCATTATCACAGATTTCAAGTGTTTGCTATTAACTCTCTGCAAGTATTGGGACAAGTTTTATTAAATATTCCTTTTTTTAATTTCATATAACACAGAAAAGTTTGGTTGGAAGGAACCTTTAACCATCAATCCAGTTCCAACCCCCCTGGCCCAGGCAGGGACACCTTCCCCTAGCCCAGGTTGCCCAAAGCCCCATCCAACCTGGCCTTGAACACTTCCAGGGAGGGGGCAGCCACAATTTCTCTGAGCAAATCTATAGACCAATCTGTGAACCATGGTAAGAGTTCCTAAACAACTACTGCTGCAGAGGAAGTTCCAAGGCAAACAAGACAGCCCAGAAAGACAAACTCTTTCCCAAAAACCCTTTAGAGAAAATGTTCTCAAAGAAAAAAAAGCACATAAAACACCTCACAGTAAGGAAAACTGCCCTTGGACTCTCCCTTGTGTCATAACACATCTGACAGACACTTTCCAAAACAAAGTGTTGTTTTATATCACATAGGGACACACTCAGCTACAAAGAGAGTCAGAAGGTAGGTGTGTGTGACAGTAAGATTATTGCAAACATCCTGATTTAACTTAGGTGTTCTAGTCCTGGCTGTAATAAATGTTATTTTAAAATCAGGATGACAACTTTAGGCAGGTTGTGGTCAATGGTTTTTGAAAACTTTTGTTGCATTAGCTACTAAGCCCTTACTTAGTGACAGCACTATGCCTCTGTAGTTCCCACTGGCATAAGCCATTCTGCACTTGGGTATGTCGAGGGGACCATGCTGAAGTACTACATGTATAAGGAAAAAGAAAATGAAAAGTACAAATTATGAGTTTGGAGGTTAAATAAGTTTACCTGAGTTAAAGGATGTTTTTTGCTTCTAAATCATGGGCTGCTGAAAGTATTTCAAAATAATTAAGAGTGCCATAAAAGTTAATCTCTAATCCAAATACAAAAGGATCAGGAAAAAATTAAAACATTTCTGACCTTTTGCACGAGAATGACAGAAGTGGCGCCTGCCTTTCAGTTTACTACAAACACAACCATACCGACTTTCCTGTATGATCTAATGAGATTAATGAAAATAACTGACAATGGAAACAGGAACTGATTAGTTGGAGATACATGTCCGTAATACAAAAAGGGAAGACTTAACTTTAAATGAGAAAGACCCTGTAATCCCTCTGACATGGCACCAATGATTCTCTTTAACCCTCTCCAGCAGGTTTGGTATTGTACCTTGCAGGCTGTGGGGAATCAAACTAACAACACTTCTCAAATCAGCAAGAGGCAGATGGTTATGAGTCACCACAAGACATCTTTCAAGCGGGAGAAACCACTTGCTGTTTTGCCAATTATCAGGCCTAGCATAAAGGATACAGCCAGCATCAAGATGAACCAATCACCAAACTGTATTTGATAAAAAAGGGTCAGTACATGGGTGAGTGCTGGGGGTGCAAACAAATCAATCAGATTATACATAATCGACATCAATCCCACTGACCCCAACAACGACACCACACGACCAACAATGGGTGGAATAAATGGTGACATGCAGTCTCCCATAGAAGGGACGGGACACAACCGAGTCAACAAGCCAAACACATAAGACCAAGGAAGCCACAGCATCAATCTCTACACAGCCCACTTCACAAAAGCCAGAGCTGACTGGAGCCCAGTCCCAGGGAGGCGGGAGGCCCTTCCCCAACAGGGAACTCTGCACAGGGCATCCCCCTCACAGACAGACACTGCCCCTCCTGCGAGGGGTCCCAGCTGTTATCCCTCAGTGGGACACCTGACCTTTGTTCACTGAATGCAGACACCCGGGGCTCCTTTACCCCATGGCTCTCCCTGCCAGGCCGGCACCACCCTGGAGGGAAGCCTGAAGGGAAACTCACCCCCCTTTGGGAAGGGCTGTGGGAACCACCCACGTGTCAGCATTAATTTGGGGCTTGGGGTTGAAACTCCAGCATTTTACTTGCAGACCAGGAAAGATTGCATCTCCATGCTCCTCTTCAAATCTGAAGCACATTTTTTTTTTTCTGTCTCTATGGAAGCTTCCCCCGTTTTGCATATTATCTCCAAGAATGTGGAACCCTGCTTTCCAGTACATGAAGAATTTATAACTGACTTCTGGCAAAGCCCCATGGCTTTACAGAGAAGTTAAATTGACTTTCAGTCAACAAGGAAAACTATAAAATACTTCCATAGTAGCATTTACTCTATTACCAGCAGACACTTGCACCCTAAGCAGACATGTAACCTCCATTGTCATCAGAAGAACAATAAGCAAATCCCCACAGAAACGCACTGAAATCATTAGTGTGAGTTTCAGCTCAGCAAATAGTTTAAAGATGCCCTCAAGACATCCTAGTCTCCTTTCTTTTCACTAAAACTTGTCAAAACTCCAGCTTGAATATTAATATTTCATTGAGAGGAAGTTTATTATAGTTACAGAAAAATCCTGGGTCTGAACATGATAATTATGCTAGAATCTAAACCATAATTTCCATTTTCCACAGTAAGCCATGACTCCACAGCCAGAGCTTCCTCTGGTTCTGCTTCATGCAGCTTGCAGGCGTACAGCAGGATAACCAAGTGGGCTTCCACGGAGAAGAGTGCAGAGTTCACAGAGAGCTTCTGCAGTTCTCATGTGAGCTGCACCAGTCCATCACAAGAGGATTGATGGGCTCAATCTTCCAGTGGTGCACAACAAGCTCACAGGCACCTGGATACATGCAATGTGGATGAAGCGCTCGGAGTCTGTTCATTTTAGCAATGCTTGCATTATTGCAGAGTTAAAGCATGCCCTGGAGACCACAACAGAAATCTTCCTGCCAAAAATGAAGCAAAATAACTTCACCCGTGTATGTATACTTGCGTGTAGTTTTCCTAGTATGTGTCTTTGAGACTGATACAAAACCATCCATAAAATGTTAAATTTAATCATCCATTTAAGTCACTTACAGTTGTAGCAGAGCCAGTAAATCAGACCACCATTCCCTCAGTGTTTACTGTCACAGATGAGCTACAGCTTGAAGCACCCATACACTTATGTCAGCAGAAATACTTTCAGTGAATACTTGTTAAAATAAGACCTAAAATGCACAAGTAACTGCCTCCACTCCAGGCACTTCAGAGACTGCCTCGTGCCTCATTCAGCACACAGATATGCAATCAATGTAGTTAATCACCTTTGGAAAGCCATTAAGAAAGCGCACATACTCCATGTAGACTTAATTGAAATTACTAAGTACCACAGGCATGCTGAGTATTTCCCTTCTCTGGAGCTTAATTGCTAGCCTAAAGAGTCAGGATCTCTAGTTTGCTCTCCTCAGTTCATTTTTACTAAAACAGATGCAGAGCATCTTCACCTCTCATACTCTGTAATCTACAGTAGGGCACTATCTTGGAAAGCAAAAGACAGTGTCTACCATGCTTACCACAGTATGTGAACTACTCAAGTCTCCTCTTAACTCTGTTAAAGCCTTACTATATCAATTTAAAAAGAGTCACCATCAGCTTTCAGAAAAACTAACAATGAAGACTTAAAAGAGGAGATTCTTAGATACTAACGTAAGCTCCTGCAATCTGTTTCAGTCATGTTTTCCCCCTTCCCATTCCACGTTACCTGTAAATCATTAATATTCAGAGTTTTAAAATTATTATGGAGCTGTGATATAATTTTGTTTCTAAAATACGACCACCAATGATCTTGAATTACAGTATGGAATCCTGAGTAGATATTTTTAGTTCTTCACAGTGACAAATATAAAACTTCAGGTCTAGCCATGCAAAAACCCAGCTCCATTTCAGCAGTTGCACACCCCAACACTACACTTCAATGTATTAAACACCCCTCTGCAAGTGCAAGCTCTGGGTTCCCCTGTGCCCTCCAGTGCAAAGCTGTTCTGGAGGTGGAAGGCACCGCAGACTGTTGAATGACCCAGTTCACTCTTGCTGAGCAGCTCCCCCAGGGAGAACCATCTGCTGTTGTCCTAATTTATTCCATTAGTCACAGCCCAATACAAATCGCATTAACTATAACAGGACAGTATTACTTATAGAACTCACCACACAGCTCATTCAGAAATAATCGTGTTATGGTCATCTGCTCTCCAACTCCCTATATTAAATGACAAGCACTTCAAAATCTCTGTTTGCAACTTGTGTGCAAATTCTCCTAGAAAAGGGCAAGCCTACAGACTAGCAATGGTAAACTTCAGACTCAAAGCATGCATACATGTAACAGAGGTTCTCAACATACTGCAGTGACACCTGTACTTGGAGAACAGGGAAAAACAGGGAGCCTCAGGAAAAAAAATTAACTTAAATTAAGATTATTTTAAAATAGCAATCAAATTAAACGTAGTCCCAGATGGAATAACACCTAGATTTGTTTTACAGTACACCTGAAAAGAAATCTCAGTTTGGCACCTTGTTTATGGCTCTAGACGGGGTGACAGCAGGTCAACTATGAGATGCACAAGCACAGCCCAAATCAAACCTTCCAGTCAAGCTAGATTACGTTCTGTTTTGTTTTACCCAAAGCTATACATGCCTTTAAATATCTAGCCACTAAATCACTAAAATGATTTGTGATAAGCTGAACAGAACAGCAGCCAACTATGCTAGAGAGAAAAATAAAGATCTACTGACAAGATGGTGGATCTGTATCAAATTGAAGAGGTGGAAGTCTTTGAGAAAGTCAGTAGGTATGTAGCAAACTGTGCATGTCTACTCATTTTACTGCTGAAAGAGCCAAAACAGAGTTAAAGGGGTTAAAAAAAGTGGTTTCACTTTATAGGGAGTTACTACAAGATGTGCTTTTAATCTTCATAGTAAGGAATTTGTACCCATCAAGGTTACAGGTAAGAGACTTAGTACTAGAGTATCTGCTGAATACTACAGAAACTAGCTCATCTGAAACTGAGCTCTAAAACAAGCCCATACTAACAAGCATAACATGCAACCACCAGAGCCAAGAACTGAGGCACTACCATGTACCAGTCCACCACTTAATAAAAAGATCCTCTTCTGTTACCACCACAGTTAACAATGTACTCAGAGTACAAGACTTCCATTAAAACTGATTACCAAAAGGTGTGATATAACATTATAGATTCAGCTGCAGCACCAAGAGCCAATAAAACCCAGTTTGCTTTATGATAACTGTAATGCTAGAAAGGCAGCATCCTCCAACTACCCTAACACTCACAGAATTCACATTAAATGTTCTGCTCTTGTATTTCTGCTCACTCAACTCTGTGCCTCCCAAGCAATGGCATTTCCATGTAGTGAGAGTAAGGAAAACAACTTTCTAAAACTTAAGCTACTCCTAAGCTACTCCTAAATTCATTAATTCAGTGTCAAGAGTTAATAATCCTGAGGCAAGTAGAAGTGGAATGACCTGTCACACACTCCTTATCCATGATTTTCATTCCTGTTTGAGGTGAGCTTATGGTTTATTATGAGTCAGAAAATGCCTAAGGAACCTCATCTACAGAAAATTTTTGCATTTTGATGGACAGCCTACCCATTTTCTCCGGCTCATCTGGACCTGTTCCAGCAATGCAGCTGCTCTCTAGTCCATACGTTGGATCCACCTTCCCAGAGGCTCTTGCTGCTTCCTGTACTTTCTTTACATGGGCTTCAACGAGCTCCAGTGGTACCTCCTCTCTGACTCGAGAAAACTCCTCTGTTTAAAAAAAAAAAAAAATAAAAAAAAAAAATCATCACACAGTGTTATATTGTGAGGGCTTTACAACAAATTATTAGGATTTTCTCCAATCAATATGCAGGTAAATCTCATGAAGTGAATTCTCAAGTACATGAATTCCTTCTTTGCACATTAGTTAATCTTCTCTCTCAAACATGGTAGGAAAGAATCTCTTCCCAATTATATAAAACTGTCTTCTAGGTGAAGAAATAAGGACAAAAAATAAAAGGAACTGTTTAATCAAGTTCCTTAGAGGACACATATAACCGTGGCAGATGATTTCACACAAGTAACCAGGAAAACTAAGTTTAGCATTGTGCATTTACCCATAGCAAAGCTAACAGTGGTCACAGCAACACCAACTGCTAGATGTTGCTTACAAACACTATCAATAGTCAAGGAGTACAAAAGGGAAATGCAAGCCATCTTCAGACATTCAGTGGCCTTTACGAGCTATTCTAACTTGCCTGTACATTTGCAGTTTCTGTAACAACAGAACACAAAACTGGGTATCAGTAGATCTGCTTTCCACTTACATGTACATTTATTTTTACAACTCACTACTCATCCATAAAAAACTCTAGTAACAGATCATTTAAAGAGCAGACTGACAGAGAGAAAATTTATAGAGACAAGGTGGAAAAAAAACTGCTGGGGCAAACTCATACCTAATGCAGCCTTTGCTGCGGCTGATGCCACCCGGGGATCCACCACTGATGCCAGAAAAGCAACAGTACTCATCACTGGATTGCCAGACTGGCTGAAAGGTACAGGCTGGTAAGCCAGAGGGCCCAGAGATGCATCAGAGTTCTCCAAATAGGGGTCTTCGATTGGGAGCCTCAGAAAATGGAGAATGCACTCATCTTGGGTACGGCTCCCGACGTGCTCTGAGACTTTGTTCCAGTCATCTTTGTACATCTCCAGAGCCTGCAAAAAAAAAAAATCACTGTATATACATTGACTGCTCTGGGAGGGAAAGAAAGAAAACCCTATTTTATGCAAAAAGATTTTTAATACTAGTTATTTTGGTGATGGAACAATAAATTGGGATCAGACAACGATTTAAAATTGCATTTTTTATGGTAGCAAAATTATTCTGCATGAGAAATATGAACATCTCACTGGGACATCAGTTAAATCTAAGCTGCACATATCATCACATGAGTTTTATGCTGTTACTATATCAAAAAATTACCAGAAGATTTGGGATTTACTAATAATATTTGCATAGTTAGTGCTTCCCCATTTTGCTTTCACATGAAAAAGCTATGCAGAGAAGCAAGTTTGCTTATCCTACCAACTCTCACCAGTTCTTTTAATTCCCCTAACTACTCCCCCTGAGGGTAGTCTCGTGTTCTCTCATTTATGTCTTAACACACCAAGCTCTTTGAGGAGTCCAGTTTTTAGATCCAACAGAAGTTATGAAAATGAGAAAGTATCAAACCAATATACCAGGGGGAAAAAAAAGGAAAATATATTCCACAGCATGAAGCCAGAAGGGATTGGTTCTCTTAGCAACTGTTCACCACTCTGATTTTTATTATGCATTCAGGTTAACAAATCATTATTACGTAGATAAACCACCTGATAAAGTAAGAACTTCCAGATTAAATCAAAGGTTCTGTAATTCAGAATGTCAGTCACTTTTAAAGTTTCTTAAGAAAAGTCTTAACAAAAAAATTTATTAACAATGAGCTACTCAAGTCCTGCTCTAGTTATTGAAAAACTAACAATTTAGCAGTGTAAAAACTCAAAGTGGTAGCCTAATAGAATATTATCCCTTAACAGTTTTTCCCTGAAAACTGTTTTAGTTATTTCAGCATTTGGATAGTGTAATGTAAGTGCTAAAACTCCTGAACTGTTAACTTTTAAATTACTGAGATGATTCGTGGTCCAGTCACCTACAAAAAGAAAAAAGCCATTGGAGATCTAGGCAAAATATGTTTAAACTTAAAAATGAAAATGGGATCTGCAACTCACAGGCATTACAGAAATCTTCTGAAAATATTTGATACCAGAGGCCTGAGCAAGGGTAGTAAACACTTTTCTGATGGAGTTGCAGTTACCATTTTCATTTTTTGGTTTAATTTTTTAGTTGGCTGTGAAGTCAAGCTGTTTTGTTACTTACACTGCACCCATGCTACAACAAAGCAAGGTAAGTAGCTTCTGCATTGCTCCCCAGCAAGCAAGCAGGCTTTTCTGCAATAACTGGGGCAGGTGGAAGAACTGAGGTTAAAGCAGGTATTATTAGAGTGCTTGGGAGGATCCCTACAATATGTCCTTACTGACTTGCTGGCCATCAGGCAAGCTGCCTTGGACTTCAAGGCACCTGTCTGCATGCATAATATATTTCAGAAGATAGAGAAATCCTCCTCAACTAACTACTCATGACAACTGAGTTTCCCCAGCTAAGCAGTACGTCCATTTCAGCACAAATGTTTAAGAACAAAATGAAATGAATGGCTTTTCAATACTTGAAATCTCTCCTACAAGGCTGAGAACTACCAGAAATCTCAACCTTCAGGGTAATACGCAAGACTGACTTCACTTTCCACATGCACAACCTTTTAGAGCGTAAAGGCAGAATTCAGTGCTGGACTGTATCTGTCAGATGGCACAAGGAGGATACATCCAATGTGTCCGAGTAGTGCACACAAAGTTAACAGGCTGGATGTTTCTGCAGAGTTACTAGTGACAAGTAGAAGAGAAAAACTGAGTCATCAGCCTCATGTGTTTCCTGATCTGGGAAGGGATATTTCCACGAAAATATTACTACATGCATATCTATATAAATATATATATGATGGTTGTGCGTTCAGAAGACATTCTCCTGCAGGACTGTATGTAAACCAGACTTTTTCATCAACACGAAAATATTTTTTTTAAAACTCCAGGAGTTTCTGTACATACTGTTTTCTTCACAGCAGTTCTGGAGGAAAAGTGTTGTAGTGTTTTTGCAGCTGAAACATAAGCTATGAGAATTCTTCAAAGACAGAGTAACCTGCCTGAACAGAACCCTTGGGCATGTCATGGATGTTGAAGGTTAGTTGGGGGAAAAATGCAAACAGAGTAGAATTTTCAAAGATGTGGAAGCAGACTAACTAAAAGCACAAGATGAGCTAAACCTCAAACTGTTAGAGATCCAACAGGCACGGAACAGATTAGAGAAAAAAAGACCAAGTTGCCTGCAGTAGGTGGAGCTTTTTAGCCTTCTGATCTGAAAGCCATTTAAGCTTTACCTGTCTGAAGTTTTAAGTTTCTCTCATAGATAGGGTCTCACTGTTGAACTGGGTGAAAACCCCCAGTATATCTCCAGAAGGTCACTGGTTCCCTGCCCCTTCCCTTCAAACAGGGGGTGTAATACTGCCTGGGCAGGTACCACACTACAGGAATGCTGTGCTCCAGCAGAGCTTAGTTGGATGGGAAGAACAACACAGGAGCTGTTGAAGAGCATGAGCCAGCCAACACCACAGGTTTTGAAAGCTCCGTGGAAAGAAAATTTGGTTGGGGAATGAACCAAGAGCAGATGACACGGACAGCATGGTCAGTGCCGCAGGAATCAACGCTCCCCAACTGCTTACAAACCGTTCTGACCTCTGTCTGACCTTGCCCAAGTGTTTAAAGAAATGAGAAACTGCTTAGTTCAGTAGGCCATCTTCATGGGGAAATATTTACTTAGTGTTCAACCTTCATTTCACTTTCCTTAATCTCATCTCTCTGCTCTAAGTTATGTGTCTGTCTATCCATTTTTAATCACCCCAGCATATTAGATCAGCTCTGCTTTTCATGACCATGCAGGATTTTTTTGCTCATTCTCCTGCATTGCTTGTTATTTTTCTGCTAGACGAACTAGCTCTCACAATAGTTGTCCTTACTATAAATAGCTGAACATGCACTTAACTATGCAAGAATAGTGCTCCATGGAGATAGGGAGCAGCAGTGTGGCAGGAAGATGATTCTGGGAGGGAAAACAGTATTCCCCCCCACCCCCAATTCATTCAGTCAACAGGCAGAAGGACAATAATAATTTTAGATAAGATTTATTCTTTGGAGCTTCACTGCATATATATTTGCCCAAAGCTACTCTGAGGATTTAATTGGACTGAGCTGGCTTGTTATAGCTGAATTACTTATGCTTGAACTGATACACTCTTTACTGATTTATTCATAGGTTAAATCCACGAAGAACAATGTTATTAATTTGAACTCGCATTAAATAAAATTGTAATCTCAAGATTTAGGGGATATTTGTTTTGTTTTTAAGACAAAGAAATATGTCATCTGGATTATTTCATTAGGCTGCTACTTGCTATGTATGACCATAAGCTACAAACATACAAAAGAATTAGTTTTAAATAATAGTACTAGTAAGCAAAGAAGGCAGCATATCAAGGTATTAGTCTTGTTTTCCCATACAAGAATGCCATGAAAGACATTTTAGCTGCTTCCACCTTATAAGCAAAATTTTCCATGTGTCAATAGAAAAGCATCAGCTAAACTCTGGGTATCAACCTAATAAAAAAAAAAAAAAAAATCTATTTTGGCTGTCTGATGAACACACTTGTATATTTGTGAAGGCTGAATCAAAGCACGCTGCTGATCAGGCACTTTGGCCAGCTCAGAAAAGCAGCCACACACAGAAGTTGAGTATTGTTCAGCACCATCAAGTGCTGTCAAGACCCATTGTCCATGTTTTTCCTTCTGAAATTAACTTTTCAATGGGTTTACTGACACATGTAAAGACAAAAAAGCCAGAACAATCATGTAATTGCAGTCTGCTTTAAGCTCTCCAAGTAAAAACAAACATGAAAAAAACCCCAAAATTTGAATTCTTATATCAGAACCCTGAATTACATAAAAGGAAAAAAAAAAAATCAACCACCCAACCTTCACAGAACATTTTCTTCACTTAGAAGAAAGCTAGGTAGATGATAATTTCTTTATAGGAAGTGGCAGCACATTCATTATTTCAGGCCACTGAGATTCTTCTTCTGACAGAGCACTATGAAAAACAACGCTGCCCTGACCGGAGCGTGAAAGGCTAAAACACACTTTTGCAGTGCACCTCGTGTGATGGTTTTCATCCTAGACTGGAATGCCAAGAAACCTGACAATTACCATGTGGTCCAAGAGCATCAGATTAAGTGATCTGTGGACAAAGACCACATTCTAGCATGCTAACAGTTCTCTGACCTCATTTTTACAGTACCAATGTGATTTGAGTCATCTCATATATATTTGTTGTAGATTTCTGGGAAAGGCTTAAAGAATACATCAAGTGCAGCTATGTGGCAAAAGGAATGTGTAGATGTTCAGGATTAAAGAACTGCCAAATAAAGAGCTTCCCTTCTTAGCGGCAGGAGACAGGAAACAGACTCATCCATTAACCATTTCAATTTCAAAATGTAGTGGCTTCCCTTAACCTGCTGTGGCATAGCTAGGAACCTTTAAATTTATCAGAATTTAAAAATATTCATCTTAGGGGTAGCTAAACCATTACTTGAAGGGCATTTATTTCATACTGTTACTAACTTCTGTTAGTGAAAAGACCTCACTGCTCTGCAAGATCTGTTCTTGAGTTCATGCAAAGTTCTTAAACTCTGAATTTCTGGTTTGGATATACAAGTCAGATAGAACTGAACCTCATGGTACATGAAGCCCCTCTAAGTACATAGATGTTATTGCCGTCTCTTTTTAGTTCTTGTAGCCATGATGGTCAAATAAAGAGATATGGTTTGGAGGGAGAGCTGCAACCTTTAACCAATTCAAAAGCCAAAACCATGACAGAAAGGCAGCCTTGGATACACAGATACTTGATCACCCCTCTCCTCCAGCTACATCAGTTGGGTCTCAAGTGATTGCTTCCAACTATAAACTCAGCTTTGCCATCCCAGTTTCTGTAAAGGCATGCAGCTGTCATCTAACTCCACTTCAAAAAAAATAACCTGTATGTAGATTTTTAAAGCATGCAATATCCTGTATGTTTTGGTTTCCTAGCCCCCATCCTCCATGAACTTACTTCTAATAGCAGCAATGTCTCTTGTTCTGTCCATTCTCTTCCAGCACTTGCACCTTTACTCTGCACAAGACAGGAAAAAAAGTGAAATACAGATTCTGAAAAACAAACACTAAGAAGGGAAGGGGAAGAATCTGTTATTTAATCCACTCAAACATGTACCTTTCACAACCCTCCTACTACAGCTAACCAGTCCCTGGTTGTCTTGTACAGTGGTTCTGTTCACATGATTTACTTACGTAGTGAAAGCACACAGGTGGGTACATTCTTGCAGTTTATGTGGAAGCTGAAGGTTACAGATTCTACCTTCCCAACATGTTTAGAAGAACCTGCAACTCCTCTGATTCCAAACTAAAGCAAAGTGATTTAGTGTCCTTTTCTCCTGGCTCTCAGGTATCTTTGCTTGCACATACAGAAAACAGAAAAGAGGATTTTCCTACTGAATAAACAACCCTAGGAGTGCTGATGACATTCTGGCCAGCTTGTCTTTGGCCAGTAAAGTCAAGCTAAGATCAGGGCAGTTTATACAAGGCATTCTACAGTTCACACCAAAGCAGAGTGGCAGCCAGGAGACACAATGGGATATGTAACTCCTACTCGCACAGCCAAAGAAGGCTGCTGTCCCTGGAGGAGACAGGATTACTCAATTCAGGCACACTTGGGATTGCCTCATCTTGAAAGGCACCTTTCTCAACAGAGAAGGGTTTATGTCAACGCAGCTTTAGCTCCCATCAAATCTCTGCTTCCAAGGCAGACAAGGCTGGACTGCCTAAAGTGCGTGTGGGTCCAAAAAAAAAGTTAATCTATCTGAAAGCTCATCAGTAACTCAATAAAAAAATAATAAATTTTTTACAAGTGAGATGAGCTATCTGAAAAGAGAGAGTAATTACAGCACAATAATCTGCATACTCAGCAATTACTTGCTCCAAGAGTTGCTGCTCCCAGATCTGTAGCTCACAGTTAACTCCTGAGATTTTTCAAAAAGTTACAAAACTCTTGGTGAAAACCTCCCCTTCTGTGATTACAGACACTCATATCCATTACATGTCAAATAAAGACAAAAGCAGCTTGTCACCTACTTATGAAAGAATATTATCTGGATTGGATGTCTGTGCAAGACCACAGCAAAAGGAAAAGGGTTTTTAGAATAAATTAATCTATCTTATATCGAGATGGATTTCAAACAGATCATTAACTCAAACAGAACATTAATCACAGTGAATCACCCAGCAGCTGATCAGTTCTCAACCAGGCTGGTATGAACAGAAAAAAAAAAAAAGGCAATTGCTGCACAAAACAAAAAGGGGAAATCAGCTTCTGCAAACAAATCTGCTCAAGTTCATTGGCATAGATGCTTGTAAACAGAAACAGAGTCTAGAACCAGTAAAAGATTTATGAATTTCATGAATATTTATACCTCCCTAAACTAAGTGAAAATATGATGTGGAATCAGGCTTTAAAAAAAAATGCCTATCTCTAAAACGACTGGTTCTGTGGGTTTTTTTTAAATAGTTACCTCTTAGGGGATAAATAGTGTATAAACAGTATTAATAATAGTGTATAAATAGTTATCCCTTCGGTTTAAACAGTGATCTCCTAGGACAAGGAGGACCATACTTATGGAAACCAATTTCATGGGAGTTAGCCTGATGTCAGGCCAAGAGAGGCACAGCTCAACAGCAGCCAGCAGACTCCCAAAGGGAAGTTTATGCTGAGGTAGTAATGGGGTATTGCTGCAGTACCTCCAAGGTACACACAGGTATCAGCCTGCAGAAAAGCAAGAGGTGATAGAATTACCAACATCATGGTAACGGTATCTCAACACTTTAATTACCCAATACAGTACATCACAATTACAGTTCCAAAACATCCCCTGCAGTGGTTTTGTGATACCTTTTGTCATCAAGCACCTTTCTAGTTCTCTCAGTCTGAAAAACCCTGCTCAGACCTGGAAAACAGATAATTAAAGACCCTGCTGAAAGATCTCCATTTCTGTACTAAACTATTAGTTTGTTGATTCTGAACCATTGAGGTAAAATATGCAATAACATAACAAGAGTTCAGTGTCTGACTGACAGTATTGACTAGCTTGGCATAGGTACACGCCTTTATTTCTACAGAATCAGATATCCAACACAACCATGTATCTTAGTGTCCTACACTGAGATGGAAGAAACCTAAACTGGGAGTGTAAGAGTAACATAAGTCACCTCAATGTCATCTATGGAGGACACTTGAGGAAAAAGCTTAATGGAAGGTGCAGGGGGGAAAAAATCCCAACATACTTGCCTTTGCTAAAGTCTTTTTTGAGTAAATATCTGTGCGAAGTCCAAAGTTCTGCATATCAGTAGGCTTCTCTTTGTTTTTCTCAGGAAAACTCAACATCTGCTGAGCAGCTGGAACCTGTGAACAAACATTATAAAAGAAGGGGGGGGGGGGCAGAAATTGAGTTATTCAAGGATTTCAGACCAATGTTAAACAAAACTGAGCAAAGAAGTTGAACCTAAGTCTACAGAGATGACTCTGCACGGTGTCACGTGCATACAGTAATTGACTGTGGATAGTATAGCAGATTCATTTTAGAGTTTAAATGCCTGAAACTCTCAACCTATGTGGACAAAAAAAGAAACAATTCATCAAATCACGCACAAGTTATTCTACTGACACGTGAAATGACACTGGCTAGTGCAACGTGTGGGGCTCACCTGTGGAGTGCGGATGTGGAGAGGCATAAGTCCAGAGGGTGTGTCAGCCAGCACATTGAAATGAGGGGTTGGGGGAGGCCCCATTGCCATGGGACGGCTTTCTGGATCCACTTGGTAGTTTATGAGACCCCACTGCTCCAGAAAAGCGTGTACCCTGTGGAACAACGTGAGAAATTAAAAGTCTGAAGAACCAAAGACTTGCTTATGCTTGACACTGCAGAAAGACAGCAAAGGAGGAAGTTTGTATTTCTAGATCAAACACAGATCCAGAATCTTCACTAATCACAAACAGCAATACAAATAACATAGCAGGAGACATGACTGCACTTCAGCACAGTGCATAAAACATTACATTTTTGGTTACAGATAACAGGAAATTAATTAAGGGCAAAGGCAAAAACAAAGCTGGGGCTGCATGCTTGCAACCATTTGCAGACAACGTACGGACAGCGAAGGCTGCACAAGCATAAAACTGACATAACTGAGTTGCAAAACTGGAATTTTTGAAAAAAAACTCCACATACACACTAAACAGCAGAACCTAAACAATCGCAAGCGGAGATATCAACTCTGTAGGTATGGTTCAGCAAGCACAGTATTATAAAAGTGAAGGCAGTGGCTGAAAAATCCCCCGTTTTTACCTCATGACAGCGCAGACATCTCCAGTCAGATTCCTTCTGCAGGCCGTGCTGGTTAGGTACTCTTGAGGGTTTAAGCGATAGGTGTCAATCATGAAGTTGCGATAAGCCAGGTATCTGGAAGACAATTGGTACACAGTTCATCTACACTGATGTCTAACAAAGCTTAGAATGTGTTTTAGAATTCACCTTCACCTATATTAGTGACACACAAACAGCACCAGATAATTTTTATTGATGAAATTTATGAATCAGTATCAAAAGCAATAGGTAAGTACATTTTTATAATATACATCCTGAATAGGACCCATCTCTTCCAGATTGTTTCATGCTTGATTTTATATGTAATGGGATTAGCAGCACATCAGAGCATGTTTAAACTACAAAGCACACCAACAGCTGTGGGCAAGCAAAACGAAAAAAATTAAGCAACCGAAATGGCTACCTTGACTACTGTGAAAACTGCAAGCAAAACAGCAGCAATAAGTCTAGATGTGTCAGAAGGTAAAAGGCAGGACAACTCCTTGAAACATCTGCTCTCAGCACTAATACAAAGAAGAAAGGAAGCACCTACTCTCATGCCTTTGCTGCAGCTCTACTGCAAACATGCAATGCATGCAAAGGTCAGGGATGTGTGTAGGTGGTCATATTTTCTCAGTCTCTAGAAGACAGACATTGCATCCTTGGTGGAAAACAGGATAAAAATAAATCCTTGCCTTGCTCCGAATCACACGGATTACAGCTGTAGCTTGGTCACTAAACAGACTACTAGCTGCAGAAAAAATTACTAGGGTCTGGTCTTCACATGGAAACAAGCTAAATAAACCTTCTCAGTCCCTCTGTGAACCTGGAAGGAAAATAACTGTGCAGAAAAACAGAAATAGTACACTAGATGGAATGCTACTCTTTCTACACGTGGACTTTTTAATGTGTAAAAAAATCAGTAAGGGAAGGCTAGAGAAAGCAACATGGAGAAGACAAGGTCTTTGAAAAGCAGAGGGTAAGAGCCCAGAAGCCAACACAACTCTCCCCACTCATTGAGCTGGGAACAACTAAAGCAGAAGTGACCCCTGTGAGATGCCCTTATCGCAACGGTCCAAGCAGGCAGGTTTGGGGGTTCAGCCCGTTCCCTGCACTGCAGCCACTGCTTCACAGGCTTTTCCAGTATTTTCAGTAAATTTCTGGAATATACTAATGCTTCCTAATACAAGTTGTTCGGAACAAAATCAACTACCATAAAATTATGGTCAGCCCCGTTCTTTAGATGGAACAAAACCAATCTGCCAAACACCAGTGTCTATCCTATCCAAAGGTGTGTTCAAACCAGCATATTATAAGCAGATTTCTGCCTTTGGAAATTAAAGACAGGGATGTCTCATATGCAGCGTGCAAAAGCAGCTGGTAACCAAAAATATAAATCTCACAGAGATAGAGCATCAATGCCTTTCACAGGCAAGACAAGCAGACAGATGCTGCAAGTACACACTCTTGCCAAAATCCCACATCTTCATTCGGACCAAATTATATACAAAGCACACTGGAAAAAAGTTATGGGACTAGGTGTTGGGCTCCTCCACATTCAATGTTTGGTAGGCAAGAAAAAAAAGGGAGCTCCTTCCATAGAGGAATATGCAGGAACACTTCTGAATGCTCCTGGAGAGAACTGGGTTACCACCTGTTCAAAAGTAGGTACTTTAAAGCAGTCTTGGCTGCAGAAATTAATTTAATATTTATTAGTTCAGGTCCCATTACTAGGTGAAGAGAGAAGCCTAAGACAGAAACATCCCTAAATTTTATCCTGAAGGGAGTCTGTTTTCAACAATGACATTAGCCATCAAGCTAAAACTTGTCAATTGTCAAAGCATTCAGTTAAAATCCCTTTTAAGCCAGAAACCAGCCCCTAGGCACTACTGTCACAAGAATAAACCTGTGTGAGCTTCTGAAACATGGTATTTTGTTTGGCCTGAAAATTAAGCTGGAGGCAAGACATTTCCATTCAGAAGGATGTTTATTTAAAAATAAAACACAAAGCCAAGACCATATGCTATTTCTACAATCCCTAAATGGCAACAAAAATACATCTCTAGGGTAACATCACGATTGGGAGGAGTCCCTGAATTTGCTTCACTCGTAGGCAATAACCAGTAGCAGCTCATGGATATCAGGAGACCTGATGTTTTGATGTCAGCTGACAAGGGAAGCATGGGATTACATACGATGACCACATCAATGGCAAATATGAAAGATAAGCATTCTTTAAAAATTCAATCTATTTGCAGTCTTAGGCAACAAGTCCTAGAATATCCAAACCAAAAATATGCTGAACGGTAAAACTGATGGAGCAGAGTCAGTGTCAAATACATTCTGGATCAAATGCATTTGAGATCACTATGATGCAGCTATAGTTAACTCTGCAACTCAGACATGTAGAGAAGCTGCAAGTAAAGACTATAGACTGAAAATCATTCAGGGTGCCAGGGACTGCAGGAGATCTCTAAGCCAATCTCCTCCTCAAGCCATGGTCAGCACTGCATTTTGATCAGGTTGCTTAGGGCTTTGTCCAGCAAGGCCTGAAAGACTCCAAGGCAGAGCATTCCCAGCTTCTCAGGGCCCCATCCCAGTGCTTCATCTTCTTCAGAGCTAAAAATTTCTTTTACATCAAGACAAAACTCGATGTGTTTCAGTTTGACTTGTTTTTCTCCTGCCACACACCTCAGTAACAAGCCTGGCTCCATCTTCTCAGTAACCTCCTTGTGCACTGGGCAACTACTATAAAGCCTCTCTATCCTTCTCCTAGCCGATAAAGCTTAGTTTCTAATTGCTACCTCAGTGTTAGATCAGAGGCCTCCCAAAATATCAGTCATGCCTGAGGAGATTCAAGCCCAAGAACACTCTGTCTGAAGTCTGCCTTATTTACCTGCCGGAACAGCAATGCAGGATGACATTACCACTATCATTTGCACCAAGAAGAAACTGAGCGGAAAAAAATCAGTTTGAAGAAATACTGTTGAAGAAATGGTAAATGCATGGCTTGGCTGATCTTAAGACAATGTACTGAGAAGACACCTCAAACGCTTCCTTTAGTAGCTAAAATCTCCAAAAGCTGCTTTGCAGCCAGACAAAAATTTGATACCAAGATAAAGTGGACACAACTAGTCTAGTTCCACTGTCCAAGTCAACAGCATACAATGGTGTTAAATTTATGATTTTCTTTTTTTTCTTTTTTTTTGGTGACCTCAGAGGTTCTAGGATTATAATTTTAATAGAAACAAGCACATTGATCAAAAGCCTGATGTTGAACATTTTCCTTTAGTCAATCACCTTTCAAGACTGCAAAGTCTTCAAAATTTCAAAGTACAAACCTCATGAAGTGCAACAAGGCCAAGTGCAAGGTCCTGCCCATGGGTCCCAAGTACAAACACAGGCTGGATGAGGAGGGGATGGAGAGCAGTCCCGAGGAGAAGGACTTGGGGGTATCAGTGGATGGGAAAACTGCCTGTGAGCCAGCAATGTGAGCTCACAGCCCAGAAAGCCACCCGTGTGCTGGGCTGCACCCAGAGCAGTGTGGGCAGCAGGGCGAGGGGGGGATTCTCCCCCTCTGCTCCCCTCTCCTGAGACCCCCCTGCAGGGCTGGGTCCAGCTCTGGGGGCACCAACAGCAGAAGGACACGGACCTGCTCGAGCGGGGCCAGAGGAGGCCACGAGGATGCTGGGGGGGCTGGAGCACCCCCCTGTGAGGACAGGCTGAGAGAGTTGGGGGGTTCAGCTGGAGAAGAGAAGGCTCCGGGGAGATACATAATAAGCCTTGCAGTAGATTCTCAAGATAAGCATTTGATGTAAAATCAGCAGCTTATCTTGTTACACTGCTAAGTCAGATCAGAAGTTAATCATTTGATGTATGAAAAAACCTGCAACACCTCAAGACAATAATCAGCTTTTTTTTGTTATTAAGCTGTTTAAACAACTATGTGTGTATAATTTTGAGTTAAGAACACTTAAGTTCCGCAGTAGATACCAGATCCCACAAGCAAATGAGATAGGTACAAACTGGATCTGAATTCAACTGAGAGAACTCAACAAGATTTAATAGGCATGGCCAGAACTAAAATGCCACTAGAGGGTTTGAAAAAAAAAAAAAAAGTGTTTTTCTTCTTGCAGTGCACAACTCCAGCTCTCTGATTTAAATCAGACTATCTAATATTTGAAAACACAGTTATATCTCAGGCCTGTGAAGATTCATTTTCCAACCCTCACCTGCACTTTCAGAATTACCCATCAGCTGCTCAGGGAACTGTGAAATCACCACAGATAACTGTGCAAAACCCATTCTACAATCTGACACAGTATCCTACAACAAACTTTGTGTCAGTGCTTATACACAAAACTCCCGAGTCTCAAAAATATAGCACAGCATGAGAGGAGAGAGAAAAAATAAGGAGGATTATGAAGTTTCTACAGTATCATGAAATTTTTCAGATGTCTTTGGAAGATGATCATGTCTCGTACCACAAGAAGTTCAAAAATTTGTTCCAATCCTACTTGGGAGAAACTAGTTTTATTTTTCTTGGATAACCACTATTAACTATTAATTTGATATTTAAACTTTTACCTTTACTACAATAATGCACAAACATTATCAAACTACAGGAAGTGGTTGTACAGGTGCTCTTCACTTCTCATGCCCCTACAGACAATGTTAACACATGCACAGCTGAAGTGAGCACAGGATTCACTAGAAGCTCCTTTATCTTACCACACTTTTATATGCCTGTATTGACATATTTTTACTTACATTTCTGGAGTCTTGGACTTGTTTTTTCCATTGAAGAATTCAGGAAGAGCACGACGTTCAATCACATGAATACTGTAAGAAAAATACACAATTCAGATACCAAAACCTAAATAATCTTGGAGTACCTTCACCTTCAAATGACTATTTTGAAGGAGAACATTTATATCATAGGTTTTGGGGTTTTTTTTAATGACCCCCTGTAAACTTGCTTATTTCATCAAATAAGCAAAGCTGCATTAAAATAGCATCACAAAATTCAGTCACTGATCAAAGCAAAACTACATACCCAAAGCTGCCCTAAAGTACTGAGCAGCAGCCCGTTTTCAACTGTACCTTCACAAGTTCTGTATTCTGACAGAAGCATCTTTATTCTCCAACCTAGTTAGTGCAAACATTCAGCAAAATACCAGTACCTCAAAGAAACTACACTTTTAGGGTATATACTTAGAAGATGGGAGTCCAAGTAAGTGTTTCGAGTCCAATTCCAAAGTTGGATCTATCGTAATTACTAGTGCTCACAAGTCAGGTAGGAGACTGGCTTCAAGAATGCAGCTAGTACCTCCCTGGTCAATTGAGAAAATAAAATCCAAAGCATGGATATTCGGAGCAACTAAACTGTCTTAGAAATAATTCTTCCCCTTTGCACTCCAAGGAAGAAATATGGAGCAAAACCTGACCACATATGGAAGAGCAGAACTAACGATACCTAAGATGCTATGCATTATATAAAATAAACTAAGGTAAAGATCACAGAGAATTCAGCTTTAGTTACTTGAAAGATGTATTTTTATTTTTCCTTCCATAGCTGTTCCAGGTCAAGTATTTAAGTTTAAATGTTCTTTCAGTAGAATCTTCCATTCTGCACGTACTACTAGCCTGACAATGTAAATAGCACTGCAGAAACTTATGAAATCACATTCTAAATAAAGGACTGGAGGAAGTGATATAATTTATTTTAATATAAATAAGGAAATTTGGTCCTGAAACGTTTTAATTGCAGGGTGATTGCACCTGTGGAGTTCTACCAGCAACAAATGAAGAAGATCATTTTGTGTTATCGATGGCGTATAATGTGATATAGTAGGGTTTTTACTGCAAAGCAAAATTATAATGCAAGTAAACAGCCAGAGTATATGTAACTTGATCAGTCAACTCATTCTTTTCCAATATCTTAATATGCAAATTCTTCGACAGACCTAAGATTTAGCCCACCTATTACTAGGCAAGAAAATAGCTTCAAGATTAAAATAACCTTCCATTTTACAAAAAAGTGTCAGAAATGCAGAGCTTGTTAGAGCAACCAAAGACAAGCTCGTAGAATGGCACATAATTTATGCAAGTTAAAAACTGGAGAACTACAACAGTCCTTTAGGAATTGTTACTTTTAAAGGAAACACAGGAAAATATGTTCTTTACAAACCCTCCTTCCTCCTGTATGTTCAGTTTTTAACCTACCATTCACTTGTCCTTTTATGCTGATACTGCTTACTCTTAACTTGTCATTCATAGGAAAACCCTCTAACTTGAAGATAAAGATAACAATAAACTATTTGGATTTTAGTAACAAAGAAATTATCTAGTTCTTGCAATGAAGTTGCCCAAATCGTAACAGCCTACACTGAAATTGAACTGAGCATTAAATAAAATTTATCTTTTTACTAGAAAATTAATTTTAGCAAAGACTTCTAAAACAGCAGTTTATAAGACATTTTCAGAGAAGTAGATTAGAACTGCTCTTCAGTTTGCTTTAAATTAGTTGTGACTGGAGACATCTCAGAGACAAAAATGTCCATCTCACAGCTGTGCTGTTATTTCAGCCTTAAATCCAAATCAGCTTAACATGCTGTTTCTGGAGCACTAGAATGCAAAAATCAAAGCTTCTTTTCACATCAAGCTGCTACCTTGTGGATGTCCACTGCTGCAGTCAGAGGTGCTTTAAGTTTGCCTTTTACAAGGTCAGAGCAAGAACACCTGATGCAAAGAGAAGTTTATTCTGTTTCTTCAGAAATAGCACATTAGGCTTTTAGCTGTGTTTCACAGACTGATTCAGTTCCCAGGAACACGGTCAGAAATACTGCTGCTACTACAAATGCACCAATCAAGAATTTTTAACCAAGCATTATTACCAGTCATGCCCAAAAAGCACTTGTACATTAGCATCAGAGTGATCTTGTGACAAAATGACATTGTTGTCATGTTCTCAGTAGGGAAGTATTATTGCACCTTCACTTTACAAACAAGGAATTGAAGCACAGAGACTACAGCTATACCAGCCTTGGTTTAATGTAAACCTCAACTAGTTCGAGCTACACAAAGTTGCTTTTTCTGATCTACAGCAGATCCAGTTCTTTATCCCTTTCTGAAGCACACCAGTGGAGCATTTCATCCTCTGTGTGCACCAGAAATACACCTCAAGCCTTTCCACTCACAACGCAACTGGAGCCTCTATAAATCCAGACTGTGATCCTTGGCTTTTCTGCTTCCAGGATCATCTCAGAGCAGGAGAGCAAGGGGACTGAGAAAACAGAGGGTTCTATCTATGGGGATTTAGGTCAGCTCAAGTCACCAGCACTGACAAAAGCTACGTCACTGACTCAAGGTAATGAAGTTTACCAGAGCTGGAAACTGAACCAACCCTTACACTAACAGTTCACTTCCCATCTTAATTCACTACTATAAAGTTACCCACTTTGGAAAGTTGCATGTGAATCCTAATACTCAAGTGTCATAGCACATCTTTTTAGATTCCAGCCTGAATAATGTCTCAACTTCTAGAGGTGAGACAAAACACACACTCAAATGACAGCCCTTCCAGACAACTGACCATTCCTTATTCTGTTTCCAAAGCAGTTTTTATTTTTAAAAAAACTACTACATGAGTTTAACTCGTAGAGGGACTTGCATTCCCAGCCACTTCCTCTCTTGCCATACCACAGAAGTTTGAGTATACAGAGAACATTAGAACATTACTATAGTGAGTTATATGGTCATAGCACACCACAAACCTCTGACTCCAAGGAAGATTCCAAAATGAAACAAGTATCCTCCCTGTATAATCCGTGACTTATCCTCAAAGTCAAGATCTGAAGCAATGTAAAAAGCCACGAGCTTTCAGAAGGAGACACAAACACACACAGATCATACAAGGACTAGAGAGTAGGGAAGAAAAAGGAATCTTTTTCCCATGGGGGGAAAGAAAATAAAAATCCATGTAAAGCAAAAGATTCTGAGAAGACTGAAGATCTATGCTGTTTGAAATTCTCTTCCTCATTCCCAATACCTGAAAACTGCCATAAGTCAGTCAGAAAGATTTTTAAATGGTAAAGATGTACCCATACAGGGGAACTAGGCCTAGAAGTAATTTCTTTTAGGCCTCAGCCTGATTTATGAGAAAATCACCAAAACTAAGTCTTCCCCCCATTCCCAATTACTTTCTTACCAGTTGTAGTCAAACCAAGATGCATAGCTTGGAATAATGATGTGGTTGGTTTGTTCTGTGACATTATCTTCACCTGGATCAATTGACCGACTTTGATCACCTTTGTTAGGATCTTCATCTTCCTGTATCACGGAGGGAATACAATGGTTAGTGGGCTGCAGAAGACTTACCTAACAATTCTCAGACAGCACAAAGTTAGTTCAACACAAGTGCTTTCCAATCCTGTCCAGAATAAACTTTTCCTGATGCAATCTCTGGTCAGTGGGGAAGATCTCTGGGACCAGATAAAGTGTAATCGGTGTTCAAAAAAATACTAAAGAAAGCGTAAGGCCAGTAAGAAGTTTTTACAGAGCCAATTCTGAAATCTGATTGTTGGCAGTACAGTTAAAACACGCTTCCTTTCCTATTTGTGAAATTAAGCATGCTCTAACTCAGGGAGAAAACACTGCATTTCAGTTCTGCAGTATACTGCAGCCACGTGTAATGAATACAGCACCAATTTAGAGTGCTTTGTGAGCTGTCAGCCTAGCTCTTGCTGCCATCTCCAGCTACTGACACTGCACCAGTTTTTCATATTGACTAAGATGGCATGTGTTTTTTGCCACTCTTCCCCAATTAACCTCACTCCTCAGAAAAGCATTAAAGGAAATCAGATTCATTACTTCTACTTTCACTGGGAGACACATGTCAGCAGTAACAGCTTCATGTCTGCAAACCTGTGTCTCTAATATTACACTAAATTCTTGCTTGGATAAACTCACTTTGATCAATGTTAAAGCTGGTCTTGGATACTTCTCTCTTGTGAAGAAGTGATACTAAGTTCAGTTTGTAACTCTGTATGTCCCTGCACCTACTTCCACTCAGAGGGGGAAAATGCCCATGAGTTTGCTCATGCAGGGCTGTGAAGACATCAGTGAGCAAGATTTCGTAAAATTCCCAAGCAGAGGACAAGTTTTTGGTCACTTTCTGTTGCATCACAAGAGAAGCCTCTGGTGAACGAGTACTAGCTGTTCTGCAACTTGAGTTCCAGCACACATTTGCTTCCTGAGCCAAAGGATAAAGAGAAGGGCACAGAGGTGGCATAAAAACGGTCAGAACATGATTAGAACTGTACAAGAAACCCTCAGGTGCTATCTGAAGAGCCTGTAGGCAACTTGACATTAAATGCTTTTCTGTACCTGAATATACTAACCCAGGCAGATTTCAGTAAAACAGAACAGACTGTTAAAAATAACAAAGTCCCCAAAGCAAGATCTTAAAGAGTCATTTGTATCAACAGTGTATCTTTTTCTGGGACTAAATTCCCCCCAAAACAACAAGGTATCATTCTAAATATACTTAGTGATCTGACAGCAGCTATTCAGAAAAGAAGTCCTTCCTCTCATCATCCCCTTAATTTCCAACACCCTTCTCCTCTCAAAATGCATTCACTGAACAGAGAAACAACAGACCACATCCCCTGCGAAAAAAACACTGTTTAACAAAGGACATAAAAAGCAAATCTCTTCCAATACAACATGGAACAAATACTAAGGCTGCTGCACAAATTCCACAGTTCCAGGTCACACTCAGGGATGGAGAAATTACACCAGAAAAAAAACCCGGCATCTCCCATACTGGAAAAGCCTGCTGTTGTGTTCCTTTTGAGTTGGGTTTCCCTAACTTTGAAAATGGTGCTTGCCTAAGAACCATATTTTGGCAATCTCTGTTCACATGTCTGCATCTAGATACTCAAACCCACTGTTCCTCTGTGTGATATCCATGCATAAAACCTAAAAGAAAGCTTGCTGACCAGCTAGCCAGTTGTCTGTGTACCTAGAATTGCTGTCTTTTCCCATTTTGAAGCATGACAAAGGATTTTTGAGCACTTCTGAATACACATAAACAATCTGGACATAGGAACTGCAATAAGGTAAAACTACAAGTACACCAGTATGGAAAGTCAGATTTTCTTACATGTGTAACTAAGGACACATTTGAGTCTCTGTGCAGGCCTGCAACTGTATGAACTTAACACAGATGTGAACTTTTCTTACCCACATGACCAGGCAAGTCATCTTATACTAAGCAAGCTGTTAAAAAAATATTGCCTGGCATACCAGCAACGCAATGCAGTACAGAAACATCTCTGGCAACTCTATTAAAATGATCAGGAAGGCTATTCTGGGTTTAGATTTAGTCCTAAGACTAAAGAAAAAGCATAACCTTTGAAAAATCTTGCATGTGAAAAAATGCTGCTTTGAAAAGACTTTGCATCTGTGACCTCATTCTCATTATTAATATACCAGATTTAAAAATACAAAATAATCTCACAGCATTCATAGTTGGGTTTTTTTAGAATAGCAAACCAACATTCCTATCAGTAACTAATTTAATCATTACAGGCTCAGTTACTGAAAATGAGATTAAGATCTTGCTAGGACAAGGGACCATGGTTTTAAACTAAGAGAGAGGAGATTCATACTAGACATAAGGAAGTGGTTTTTTTATGATGAGGGTGGTGATACACTGGCACAGGTTGCCCACAGAGGTGGTATGTGCCAGGTTGGACGGGGCTTTGGGCAACCTGGGCTAGTGGAAGGTGTCCCTGTCCGTGGCAGGGGGTTGGAACTAGATGGCCGTTAGAGGTCCCTCCCAACCCAAACCATTCTGTGATTCTATGATCTCATTTTCTATCAAACTTAGTAAGAAACAGCTGCTGTTACCTTTCCTCCAGTTGCCACTGTCTCCTCATCCTGTTCATCTGAAAGGTAAAAGCACTGAGAATTACACTAATAAAAAGCATCTGATTGCTCATAAGCCTTTCTAGCAATACAGTTGCTTAACTGGAAGAATATTTCCTTTGTTTTGGAAAGGAAGTGAGATGGAAGCCAGAGTGGACCACACACATCATTAAGGCAATCTCATCCTCATGCAGGCACTCAGCTATCCCAGGCAAGGGAACCGATGAGAATATAGAGGAAGGATAATTAGAATTTTTCCACACTTAGGAATCCATACCTAATTACTGCCTTTCCCAGTGCCCTATATGTACCCTTGTATAACAGGATATGGGACACCAGTTTGTATCTCTTACGTCAAAAGCTTAGCAAAGCTCAGGGAACCTGCGATTCACTTTGATTCCTAGTAAAAAAATTCTGCCAGGAAAGAGCCTACATGTCATTAAAAACATTTTTTAAAAAAATGCCTACAAGAGAACAGCCTTGCAAGAGAAAAAGAGTCAGTAAGTTTCAACTCGGAATACACATAAAACCAGAATTAATCCAATAAAAGAGTAGAATTGTGGATTGCTTTTAAAATTGAGAGATTTAAAAATATCGGCTCCGTTGGCCTGCAAGCAAGACTTTACTATAAAATTTAGGGGCCAGGGTGCTGGAGTGTTGTGCATTTGTTTTACCGAGGTCTGCTACTGTTCCTCCTTTCACAGGCGTGTTTTCACTGTCCTTCTTTGGGTTCACTACAAAAGCAAGCAAGATTGAAACTGATGAGTAATCATCAGACAAGATACAATTATTAAAGTCTAGAATGCTTTTAGTATGTTATCAATAAACGGTTCTGTTGGGTCACTGCAGTTCAAAAGAGTTCATCTGTGCAGAGCACAAAAGACCATTTGTTTGATTTCTCTGTAATTTCACATCTGAACACAAAGCAGCTTCTATTCATGCAGTTAGTGGACTAAGTACTGTACTTTTTCCACCTGTACAACACGTAACAATTCTTACATGCAAGTTCAAACCAAGTGAAAACCAAATGGTGTGACACCCAAAAGAGTTTGGTGTCAGGGACCTGATAAAAGGAATTATTTTTACTTATGTTTACCCAACAGGTATTGCACAGATCAACACTTTTCTGAAAAGGATTAAGAGCTGAATGCATATGGCATGTTGCTAGAATTTCCACTCATTTAATGTGCTTATCTTGAGCACTTGGCATACAATTATTTTCCTCCACTACACTCCATCCCCCAAAACATGAAGTCTGTATAACTGGTGAGAGCAACCCTAAAATGGGTGAAACTAAATATTTAAGTGGATTATCGTAGAAGTATTTCAAAAAGCCAGAAGGTGAATCTGCTGCCCTTCTCAGCTGTCACATTCAAATCCCTGAGTAGATAAATTTAGACAGGCACAGATCACCTGGCCCCAGGGCCACAAAGTATTGCAAAGATTGGACAAAATACATGTGTATTTTTCTGTGCTGTTTGAGCAACTATTTTAACATTCCAACAATCCAATGTATGCATATTTTACCATTTTTGGGAAGTACCACTTCTTCTATATTAGGTACTGGTGTGGGATCCTCCATGTCCTTCGTAAGATCTTCTTGCTCATCTTCTTCTTTCTGCCCTCTCCTTTTCCCATATAAGGCTGCTTGTCTAAAACAGATCACACACAAATTCTCTGCCAGCTGCAACTGTCATGTTCTCATCTTGATGTTATTCTTCAGAGACAAGGATTCAAGGACTGGGTTATAACACTTATGAAAATATGAATGCTGCATGAAGTGGTGCTGGTGGAGTTAATAAAAAATATCCTCTCTATAATTACTAAACAAGTAAGCTTAAAAAAAAAAAAAGTCTTTTAAACTGTTTCAAGACAAGAGAACACCACTGTATAAAAATCTTGATTCCAACCTAAAACTGTCTCCAGCAGGTTGGCAACACTTTCATACTAGTGAGATTCAAGGGAGCAGTGATTCACTTACATCTGTCCTTTCTGAAACTGCAATAAGGGCATCTGCTGTGCAGAACAGAGGAGCAACAGACCATCTCAAGGCATCTGCCTTGTTTGAGGAGAAAGGCTAGCTTGTGGAATCAACTCCCTGTACTGAGGAAGCCATTTTGGAAATAAAGGCAGAATCACCCACACCTCTCCTTACAGAATCTAACTCAGGCTTTACATTTTGAACAAAAAAGTAATTCAGATTATAAAGTAGTTCTTTCTCACCTCGGATGATAAATTTTCAGTTTTGTCTTATTAGAGCCCAACAGGTCTATTAAACAAGACCTGAATTTTTTGTTCAGAAGCGCTCCCCTCCCTATCCACATATAAACCCCCATAAATAAGCTTTTTTTGGATATTTCGAGTTGTTTTTTAAGAGATCAAACTAGCATTGGAAAAAAAAATATTAATCTGTAGGGCACAAACGCTACTGTTAAAGCTGCATTCAAGAAGTTGACTTTAAAATACCTGCCTACGTACATAAAAAACCCTCTTTAATTAAATGAAGATATTTATGGGGCTATACTTCAAGAAGTGTACATGTACAACATGATTGCACTAACAGAACTAGTTTGAGTTATTTTAGAAGCAGCTAAGTAACTTTTCATTTGATAAGTTCTACGCTTGATGCAGCAATGAATTCTGTCCCTGACACAGATAACATGACAACTGGCAGTAGATTCTCTTCCACCTGCAGGCAATACATTTCTACAGAGGGGTAAAGAAATTATATACACTGCACAAGCAAAATCACTCAAGTCTATTGTAGAAATAATTATTCTTCTGTAATCTAAGGTGAGACAAGTGGAAGGTGACAGATCTCCCCATAAGCATTTCTTCAAGAAAATTTGCTTCAAATTTCAGGACCTAAACACTCACCCTTTCTTCCCTGTCTTTTTTCTTGACTCCACAGGAGTGGGAGGTGGAGAGGGAGAATGCTTTCTCTTTCTTGTACTTGCTGCTGCCTTCCTGTCTCTCCTCTCCGGGCTACGTACAGGCTGTTAAGAGAAGTGAAGTAGTTAGCTCATACCAAATACTACAGTTATTGAAACACTGTAGGCTACACTCTTCCTTAATACATCCCACAAGAGAGAAGCTAAAAGTAATAATATCACAGCATGCACCACATACAGTCACCCCTCAGATGCTGCAATAACTATGTACTTAAGAACTGTGGTCTTGAAACAGAGCAAGAGTCAAATGCTAATGTGTGACTTGTTCAATATACTCTATCCATCAGAAGAGATTTCCTGGTGAGTAGCCTGGCCTCAAGTTAAACGAACGTGCTTTCAGAGTTCTAACTAACTTCCTGCATTGGGAGAGATACAGGAATTAGTTTCAACAGGTACACAGAATTCAGAAATCAAATATTAACCAATGCTGTTTAACACACCCCTGGCTTCAGTTATGCGAAAGCACGGAGTGGGTCCTACCATCTTCAGGAAGGGGGAATTAAAAAAAATGAAGTTCAAAGTGGACACTTACACGTCTGGATAAAGGAATTTTCAGAACAAAGTTAAACTAGACTGTGTTATAACAGGCACCTCAAACTGTTCAACCTGCTTAACTTTAGCAACTTTTTAATTCCAAAAATTTGACTTATGGAGAGATAAAGAACGTGTCAACAGGTCAGGAACATGTCAACAGGTCACCCATTAAGCAAAGAACCACCTACCTCTTCATTTTTCATGGAGATTCTCTGTCGAAAACTCACTGATTTCCTGTTCTCATCTACCTCATAATCTTCTTCATTCATCCATTCATTGAATATATCTGTGTCCAAAATCCACTTGGCATGAACCTACAGAACAGAACGATGTAATGACACGCCAATACTTTCTGAAAGAATACCTCCATGACAGACCTCATGGGATTAAGGAAGTACTTGCAGCTTTGTTACCCAGGGTCTGAATATCCAAATATCTAGTAATGGTTTCACACATAATAGGTAACAGTTTCATGAGGCAATACAAGGATGAACACAACTGTAAGTCTACTGGAAGTCATGGCTGCTCCTCAGTCATTTTTAAGCCTTCTGAAGTGTGAGGTCAGTTCTCACAGCTGGGACAACAGCTCTGTATTAAGAGCATACTTTGGATGCTGAAAATTACCATCAAATTAATCTAAAATATACAGATCACCTTAGCAGATGTGCCACAAAAGACAAAAATATTATGAAGAGTTGGTCATATCTTGCAAAGACGACACAGATGTCGTTATTTTCTGAACTGAGCCGCTCTAACTCTGCTGTTGAGACCAACAGCACACACAGAAAACATGGCATGTTACGTACAGAACAGCAAGTCCAACGAAAGAACAATAAAGTAATAAATACTACTGTTTGTTTGTAACTGCTCTATATCCTTCTCTTGCAATGAACTAAATCAGAAAGGCAAATCATTCCTCTACAAAGAAAACCAATTCTGTAGAGAACCTAAATAAGGTTGCTGATGTTGGTTTGACTGCTCAGATGTTCGACAGATAGAGAAGCAGTGACTTTCTGCATCATTACAACATCAGTTAAGAGCAGAGTTGGCATTAAATTGAACCTTTCCATAAAGAAAGGCAAGATATGACCCCTGGGAATTCCTTAAACAGCTACCAGTTTTTTCGTTCACTCCCATGTTGGCTCTAACTCTAGGGACAGCTGCATTCACACACTACAGTTCATTAGCAATGCCAAGGATTTTAGCAGAATCAAGAAACTTAAACTGTGCCCTGTATGAAGAGCGTACAGAAGCTGTTATCTACAGTGGTACTGTGCTAAGATAAATGAACTAAAGAGCTTCTGTAGCAGCGTGAAACCAGGGGATGGGGGAGCCCACAGCCACGCACAATCTGTCAACCAGACCACAGCTTTATTTTGATCCCAGTAGCTGAATCTGTTGGAAATCATGTTGTTATTACAATAACTCAAAGAGGACAGATAAGATTTCAGTTGTACCTCAGACTTTCAAAATTCAGATTTGTTCTCCTAAAGCAGCTTCTCGATTTCTGTATTATCTAACTCCTAGTACTTTTGGTCATTTCTATATTAATAGAAAGAGATGAACTGTCTGCACACAACGTGCATTTTAAGCCCTGTAATACATGTGTGGTAATCTCAGGTTTCTAACCTGACAGTTTTCTTTAACAATATTTTTTCGAAAACATCATGAAGATATGGTATTTTACCCACTTCTCCTCAAACACCCTATAATGCCATTATGCCTTCTAATGGGTTGTCAGGTTTCATCCCAGAAATGGCTGCACTTCAGCTGTAAGGGAAGGACTTACCTTTAACAGAAAACACTGCAAGTCAGGTGAAAATAAACACGGTCATTTTGGCACCATCAGGGATGCATAAGCCTGTCCTTTTAGTTTTTCAACAGCATTCCTCCCCAGACCAAAGAAATGTTTTAGGTGTTTTCAACATGGCTCTAGAAACATCATTCTGCTTTTCCATATATATATATATATATATAAAAAATACAGTCACTGTTACTCAGCAGCATGTTTAAACATCTTATCTAGTAGCACCTGCACATGAGCTATACCAATATAGTAACTCTGGGAAACTCTTTAAGAGACACTTACCTTCCATGGCTTTTCAGGAATTGGAGGATCCTCAATTTCAGCATCTATTTCATTGGCATGAACCCAAGTGTCATAGCTAATGAGAGAAGTCAAGAGAAGACAAAACTGGTCCCCTGGGCTGTTCATCCAGAAAAATCATCAGCAGGAATACTTATTCAGCAATTCTGACATGTGCAAATCATATTGCTGAGATAGAATAGAAAAGTACTTTCCACTCAACAAAAAGTTTAAGGAATAATTACTGGTTTCTGCTACAGGAATAGGACACACTGAAAAGAGAGGGGGTCCAGGGCATCTAATGCACATTTTTAACTTTCTGAATTTAAAAGCCATCTCAGTGAAGACAGCTCCAGTTTAAAATTGCAAATCTACTCTCTAGATTCAGAGGTATAAATGCAGTTTCTGAGTCACCTGTTCAAACCCTGGCATTAAGTTAATTAACTTGTTTCTGTTCTTATGAGTTTAAAGCAAGAGATACCGGATTCCTGTAACAAAGGAGCATGCACCCTCTCCTTCAACCACTACTGCTGTAGAAATCATTTATTATTTACATTCACTTTTCCACATGCTATTCCCTCAAAAGCCTATTTATAAATCCTAAGAAACTGCACTCAGTAACAGCAAAAGCCAAAATACTTTGTAATCAACACCAGCCGTGTACTGAGCAACTGGGGTAAGTCATACACAAGAAAAAATGTGTATATAGCATTCCTCATGTCTTCACTGTTATTTATAAATACATATACACAGAGTCAACACAAACATGACTCATATAATATAAATATAAAACCACTTAAAGGTTCTTCATTTGTATGAAGAAAGAAACTTAAGTGTGATTGTTGTTTGCTCTCTTCCACTGAAATAGGCATATAGTTCCTAAGAATCCTGTGCATGCACAGCGAAGCAGGTATTAGTACCCTGAAAAAGTTATTTAAATCGAAGCCAATGCTGGGTTACTACAATCTTTTGAGCTTTCATAACTTGGACTCAGAAACCAGTTATTACAAATATATTTAAGTTACTAAGAGTACATACACTATCTTTTAACATCTTCTAACAACACAAGACAGCTTGCTCAAATACGTTCATTCAACAGACACTTTGCACTTGACCAAAGGCAACTCATGGAGTAAAATCTCTGTTGAAGGAAGTTCAACAAGCTGATTAGAAGTTCTCCCTTTTGGCTTCACAGTCTTACTAACCCTATGGAAAGGTTCACTCTGCCCTTTGAAAGTCTGGTTCAGTTTGCAACCTTACTAGTGACTCTGTAGAAGACTAGTGACCCCTCTTCTAACCTCACCCACCTGCCAGTATCTCAAATGGGTATGTATATTTGTTTTAAACCACTGATTAAATCTTTTCAAGCTCTGGACATTGAGATAAACAGCAGCAATGCTACATTACTGCGTGGTTATACTCCATAAGACAACCACTGCTCGTCTCATAATATGAACAGTGATGTACAATCATTCAGAATCAAACCAATAGGAATGCAGTACTGTATATTTGCATTAAATTATTAGACAAGTCAGCCAGAGATAGGCCTGAACTTGTCATATACTACATAACATGAAAACATAGCTGGGATATTCCCCATGCAGGTTCACTACTGATAACCAGAGAGCACTGCTATTCAGAGAGGTAAGCCTCAGTAAACTAAAGGAGCAGCTTGTCTGGAGACAGGGATTTTCCTACTTGCAAGTTTTAATCGAGACTTTTTCATCAACACACTTAAGTCAGATCTGGGGTCTGCTTTCTTCCCCCACCTTTCTTTACCTGTCTGGAAAGAAGCCCCAGTGTACCAGCACCTGCTTGTCTTTTTTCATCACAGGTCTCAACCATTCATCTGCAGAGGGGAAAGAGATGTAGCATCAGATTCAGATTCTAAAGCACGTTAAAAACTATTTTGCCTTCCACAGTCAGTCATAGTGAAGCCACTGCAATCATCTCTGATAAAAGTCCACTGAACTGCAATTACAACGGCCTGGCCTGCCACAGGAACACACTTGCTTGCATTGCCCTTGCATGTCTAAGCATGCATGTGCTCTGCCTGTATATGACACATGTGTTACAGTAGTAAAGTCACTCTGATGCTAAGAATTATTACATTTCCTTTCCTAGACACACACATTCATACCCTAACACAGTCCAGATTAAGATCTAAAGAGGCCTGAAACAGTCAGAGGCATTTCTGGCTGACAGGTGGAAGCACTATCCTCTGCCAGCTCATCTCGTCCCATCTCATCTCCCAGACTCCTTGGCCAGCTGGGCCAGGAACTCAGAACAGGACACACCAATCCTCAGAGAAGACATTCAGTAAAGACAGCAGAAATAACATGGAGAGAGAGACACATGCTCCAATCTGTCACTTTTTAAAAAAATCTCTGTATAAACAAAAAGACTGAACTTCTCCCAAAATGCTTTCTTGTCAAGTGGTAAATATTTCCCCTCTGTCTTTTTCTATCCTCACTAGACATCTGAATCCCCTCATTAACTTAGTCTATTGATTGACATTTATTTCAAAAGACCCTCTCTTCCCAGTACTAAATTCTACTCTTAACAGGTATTTAATAGAGTTTTGAAGGAAGAATGTCAGGGCAGCAGGTGGTGGTGAAACAGATTTTAATAAAAACCTTTAAGAGTCTAACAGAACTTGTATTTCAACTTTCTTCTTTTACAGCAGTGCTAATAAGGACTTCAAGTTAATACAGATTCACTGAGCAACACTAATACTTTGCTGATTTTGCAGTAAGGCACACACTCAGTCTGACTGGTGTTTTAGAGGTTTTTTTTCCTTTTAAACTGCCCATCTGACACAATGTAGTAACCTACCCCTGAAACCCAAAATTTGAGAATATGGCCCAAGCAGGATTAAAAGAGAAACACTGAGGCTTTGAACCTGTATGAAGTTATGCTGCTTGAATTCATGGCTGTTTTCTCATCTTAGTATAATCAGGGGTTAAGAGAGCTCTGTCTAGAAAATCTGCATGTTCACACACTACAAGCCATATGAGACCTACCAGGCCTGAAGTGGTTAAAAATAAATACAAATCTGTGACTAGGCACCCTATTACCAGAAGTACAGAACACAGACAAGCACCTGAGGACACACATGCCATGATCATTCCTACACAGGAGTAAGCACTTCCATCTAGTGGCCATCAGATGCCAGGGCGTATCAGAAAAAGCTAATTTATGTCAGACTCAACAACTGTGATCCACTAGACAATTAAATGTATTTAAGATGAAAAGAATTAAGCACAGTTTTTTTGTTATTTGCTGTAGGATGCATCTGTTAAACTGCTTTTCTGGATCCTATGTACTTCATAGAGAGGCAGACTGCATTATAATAAAGCCCACTATCTCCATTTATCAGGTCCACCTTGACAAACCCCATGCAATGACAGGGATTAGCATTCCCAACCTGTCACCTGGAAGGACGAGAACACGGCAGACAGTTTTTCAGTTCTCATTTACTTTAGCATCCACCTATCTTTCACACATCTAGTTGATTCCTAATAATGTTTCACTCAACATTCTGACCTATACTTACACGCTGAGAGATACAACAGAAGCAACAACAGAAAAAAAAAATGGAAACTTTAGTTTTAACCCCCTTACTTCCACAGTCCTTCCTTTTAATTTTTAATCTAAATTAACTTCTTTAAGTTCTCCCAGATCCTTAGCTTTGCTGCCCTTCAGCCTGCAAGTTATTTGGGACAAACAAAATGTCTATCTGCATTCAGCAATAAATAATATCTCAATTTCCAACACAATCACTGAAGAGTACTCAGTGTTACGCACCTTAAGATGAAAATGTTGCATCGATTAAAAATGTGAACATTACACCCAATAGTTAGAAGCAGGACACAATGATTTTATGTGCAGTTGTCAAACCTACAAATACTTTTCCAGTGGCTCTCAGGAGCGGGCTAGGGCTTTTTGTCTGTGCAAAAGCTCGTGTAAGTGCTAACAGAATTTAGTTGCAAGACTATTTCCACTTAAAAATTAGAAAGGAACTTTACCATCATCCATTGAGGTAGGACTTGGATAAACATGGTGGGTAGCCTTTGATTTCTCTTCAGTTACTGTTCCCTGTGGGAAAGGCGGAAGAAGAAACTGCATGAGAAATCTTTAACACATTACCCCAAATCTTTTCAGCTGCTTCTTGTTACCCACATCCCGTGCAATCTAGAAATATTCAAGGCTAACTTCAATGCAACTACAAATGCTATGTCTAAGAAGTGCCAAAAACCCAATTATTTTAATACTGCTGCCAAACTACTTTATCACCTCCTGCTCTTTTAATCTCAAATCCTTCCTCCTCCAAGTTCCTTCTGCCTCGATTTTCATCGTAAATTGTTCAACTATCAATTCATACAAACCTACTGGTGAATACTTTGTAAGAAAGCATCTGTAACTTTTTTCCACTAAGTACACATCTTGGTCCAAAGCAATTTCTAAATACGACAATTTACATGAGAGAAAGTCTATGAGAAACTTAACTAGAAATGGCTGCCTTGAATAGAACATCCTCAGTACTCAGAGAAGCCTGTATGTCAAGAGACAGAATAAACACCCCTTCTTTCAAAAGAGCCTCCTAAATCATAGAACAAGGGGAGTAAATCAGAAATATACTAACGTGATACCATTGTTTGTCGAATATTCAAATGCAAGAATACTTTTTCTTCTTGCTGCTATAGGACAGCATTTTCTTGACATATGAGAAGCAACAGATGTTACTTCTCATGCTTATGTATATGCCACAAACAGTGATATATAAAGTGATTTCTCTACATATGGGTACAGGCCATAATTATATTCCTATTGGACCTATATCAACACACAAGAAAATTCTACTACATAACTAGGTATCTGTTAAATAAATGCGTAACTGCTTAGCGTTGCCAGTCAAGAATCACAGGATGGTTTGCGTTGGAAGGGACCTTAAAGATCACCCAGTTCCAACCCCCATGCCACGGGCAGGGACACCTTCCACTAGCCCAGGTTGCCCCAAGCCCCGTCCAACCTGGCCTTGAACCCTTCCAGGGAGGGGGCAGCCACAGCTGCTCTGGGCAGCCTGTGCCAGGGCCTCACCACCCTCACAGGGAAGAATTTCTTCCTTACATCTAATCTAAATCTCCCCTCTTGCAGTTTAAAACCATCAACCCTCATCCTATCCCTATACCCCCTGATCAAGAGTCCCTCCCCCCTTTCAGCCCTGGGAGGCCACTCTTAAGTTCTCTCCAGAGCCTTCTCTTCTCCAACTGAACCCCCCAACTCTCTCAGCCTGTCCTCACAGGGGGGTGCTTGAAATGCTGGAGTTTCAACCTCAAGCCCCAAATTAAGGCTGACATCTGGGTGATTCCCACAGCCATTCCCAAAGGGGGCGTGAGTTTCCCTTTAGGCTTCCCTCCAGGGTGGTGCCAGCCTGGCAGGGAGAGCCATGGGGTAAAGGAGCCCCGGGTGTCTGCATTCAGTGAACAAAGGTCAGGTGTCCCACTGAGGGATAACAGCTGGGACCCCTCGCAGGAGGGGCAGTGTCTGTCTGTGAGGTGGATGCCCTGTGCAGAGTTCCCTGTTGGGGAAGGGCCTCCCGCCTCCCTGGGACTGGGCTCCAGTCAGCTCTGGCTTTTGTGAACGTGGGCTGTGTAGAGATTGATGCTGTGGCTTCCTTGGTCTTGTGTTTGGCTTGTTGACTCGGTTGTGTCCCGTGCCTTCTATGTGAGACTGCATTTCACCATTTATTCCACCCATTGTTGGTCGTGTGGTGTTGTTGTTGGGGTCAGTGGGATTGATGTCAATTCTGTATAATCTGATTGACTTGTTTGTACCCCCAGCGCTCACCCATGTACTGACCCTTTTGTATTAAATACAATTTGGTGATTGGTTCATCTTTATGCTGGCTGTGTCCTTTATGCTAGGCCTAATAATTGGCAAAACAGTGATCCAGGCTCCCCCAGTATCTTTGTGGCCTCCTCTGGATCAAAAAACCCTGTCCTTCCCTTAACTGGAGAACCATAAGGATTCTCCCACATGCTGCAGAGACACCTCCAGTCTCCACATATGAAGAGTCATTCCCAAGGGCAGCAGAAATTCACAGTCTGCAGACTCTTCTGCAGAGGAGTTGTGTTTTCGAACAGTTTGTATGAAAATGTTATTTAAAATTTACATTCCATAAATACTTGACAGATTTATTTGAAGGACTTAAGAGCACATGGGGTAAGTTACAGCCAACAATATGCGAACAACTTATTTAGAAGACAGCATCAAAATGAGGAAAATTAAAAAAGCATGAAGATGCGTTGCATTATGGCAGCAATATGTGAAGACTACTCTGAAATCAGGGGCCAAAGGGCAAGAGTTCCTACATCAACAAGAGTTCACGGAACTGGGTAAAGGGAGAAGTGTTCTGAGCAACAGCAAAAAAGAAAACTGGAAAGTAAGAAGAATTTAAAACCCTTCAAAGTGAAAGGAAAGAGCCCTGGCATGAGTGAAGACCCTGCGAAGTGTTTAAGGAACAATAATGGAAATTCTCCCTTCAGTCCCCATGAGCTAAAGACACTTCTAGATATCTAATCTGAGCTTTGTGAATCAGATCAGTACATTTCATCTACTTCTTATGGGGCTTTAAAAAAAACAACATAAACAGGAAGTCTCTCTTAGATGCTATCTTAACTGAAAACAAAGGGATGCATAACCTTACATTATTATAAAACAGCTTTCTGAAAGATGTAAGCAGATTGTGAGGCTTATTCCCTGCCTCTGCTAAACTGAATGTGACTGGAAGCTAAAGACATAACAAGATGGAAGAATTATCACAACAAAACGCTTTTCTTGAAACAGACAGATATAAATGCTAAATCTCACTAGTTATCTGCTTTTAAGTTCCTAAATTATTATTTTGGTTCTTCTCAAAAGAATCCTCAAGACTTACAAAGAAAATGAGAAAAAGCGTGACCACCAAAACCAGCAACAGCATCTTTATCAGCAGAGAAAACAAACATCTTACTGACACCTCTTCTTCTAAGCCCAGAGATCACACGAGCACTGTGCTGGGGCAAGAGATAAGCAACTCTTCTGCACAGGCTGCAGTCAGGGCAGCAAGGGCTTGGAAACTCCAGACAGGAGGAAGCTACAGGCACTAGGGATGGGGTAGAGGGAATACAACAGAAACAGTTAAAAAACAAAAAAAATCATCAAGATAGTGAGGAAACATGGGTAGCTACACAAGATGAGAATTCAGAGATAAGGCAAAGGAAGAAAGCCCAAAAAGCAGAATTAGGGATAATTTCTGTATTCAGTTCTTCACATCCCTTTAGAGACAGAGCTGCCTGCTTTAAAAGTCCCTTAAATCATTTATGGATATAGCATGCTTTGAGTTCAGTACAGAATTCCTTTATGAAAGGAAAACTGAATCATTATTTTAAGCAACAGCAAGCATCCTGAATTAGCTGAATAATTAAGACTAACTTGTCAAAAATTACACAAATGAAGTTGAGGCAATGGTTCATAATGACAACACAGGAAATACATTTAATCTGAAAAGAAACAGCTTGCTTTGGCTACAGCCATGAATTATCATAACAGAAAAGGCTATCAGACGATCTGGAGTTCACATTCCAAGATACTTGTCTCAAGACAAGTGAAAAGACTGTTTACATTTTTAGGAGACAAAGGTATTAATCTTGTTCAGTTCAGCATCTAGGATATTAAATTACAATGGCAAGATGTTGACTCTCTCAGAAGTATGCTGAGTACCTAACAAGCGAGAGACCCTTGTCTTCTGTCAGCACAAGCAAGAAAAAGTAAAATAAAGCAAAAGAGGTAGCGATCATTTTAAGATTAAAAAGCTTCCTTACGCTGTCCCCACATATCTAGAAGAGCTGTATTACATACTGCCCTCCTCTGGTCTCAGATTTGGACCTTCTGCTTTACATAAGCAGGTTATTCACGCTTCAATCAGCTATTGCAGTGAATTTGCTGAGATACCATAATTACTTCTCACTCCAGCAGTAATTTCAGATTTACTTTTAGAACAAAGTTATGATTCCATCTCCCTGTGAGGGTAACTACTAATGGCATTTTACAAATGGTGAACTTCTGGTCTTAGGTGACTTGCTGCTGCTGCTGTGAGTTGTCAGACACAATCCAGATGAAACTGATATGTTGAAGCCAAGCAAATCTATTTTATCTTCGAACTGACAAAACATTTGCTTTAAGATAAGCTATTTAAGAGTTACCTGGTGACGTTTGACAATATCCTTCAATTTATTAGCCAACTTCAATTCTATATCTGGAATGAGGTAGATGGTTGGTCTGCTCAGACAATTGTTCTAGTGGAGAGAATAAGAATTAAATAAAAATTAGTAGGCCACCTGTGACATAAATCAAAAATTTCCTATTAAAATCACCAGTACTTGAAAAAGCTCAAAAGGAACACAAATCAGCTTGTGACACAGCACACTAACTCTAGCTCCAGCAACCCCCAGGACAACAGTATTTCCTTCACACACCTCCCCACCAAAGTTTATCCTGGGTTTCCTTCTGGTCTCTGCAGACCTGCCACTAGCTCTGTCAGGCACATAATGACAGAAGAAGAACGCAACGCAGCTGCTCTCATGTTCCTGCTTTCACAACATCTTTAATGAAAACCACATCTTTGATTTCAAAGAATTTTTACCAGGCTCTGGAAGACTCTGGCTGAAAGGGAATTTAAGTACCCTGCATGTCAACTTCCAAATCTGAATCTGTCCTGTTGCACTGACGTGCAGATTCATGCATTTCTACAATATTTGCAGGTACACATTGATTTCATTTTGGATTTTAAGATGTACTTTATTATGTGCTAAACCCACCATACAATGGCCACAGTCTTTTATAAGAAGAGTATTGTTTCTTTTTGCTGTCCCTCCTATTCCCATTTTTTAACAAGCACCTGAAAATTATATCTTGACTGAGCTTGGTTTTAGAGTTTGAAAAAAATATTCTGTTATTCACACACAGCAGTTAAAAAAAAGTTAATTTCAAATTAAGATTCCATACAGTTGTTATCTGCTCTCTTCTGGTAGTAACTTGTTTGATAAAGCAAGAGAGTCTAAATATATCCTAACCTAAAAAAAGTTAAATTTTTATCAAGCTGAAAGTCTCAAGAAAGTCAGCAATTGAATGAATATATAAAGAACTAGTTACTTGGTCCTAAGAGTGCTTCTTTCACAGGAAGATGGAAACACTTGGAATGCTTTCTCCCACCTTACAAACACGTTTTTCTCACCCTATGCATACCTGCAGAATATCAATGAAAACATTCTGAAGTTTTCAAGTGGAAATTGTGACTAAAATGGGTGGGAGAAGGAGGGAAGAGTATAATATTCCCACAGAAGTCCAGGATGAAACTCTTCAGTGAGTCACAACTGAGGTACATAAAAATCCCCTCCCCAAGCATGTGAACACAGTTTTGTATATAAGTCTCTTGCCTGCACTAGTGTTTTCTCAATGTTCATGAACATCTCCACATTTCGATCCATTCGGGATGGATTCTGCAGGTCAAACCTCCGCCTGTTAAGGAAAATTATTCAGAAATATTAAATTCAACTCTCCTCTGTTCAGCAATCAAGAATCTTTCACGTTCCACATAAGAAACAGTGTATCGTGGTAGCTACATAAGAACACTTAAAGCACAACCACAAATATTTTGGCTTCACTTGGCAGCCCTCACAAGCAAGAAAAATTCACAATGAACCAAATAAACAAAATGCAACTGATTTGTGAAATGTTTAGGAAAAAATGAAAGCTGACACTGTCCAACAAAACCCTGTAGCAGGGTTGTGCATTCCACTACAGTCACAAAGGGTAAACTAAAACAGAAACAAAATCAAATGCTCACAATGGATTTCAACAACTAGGTGAGAAAAATTAATGAACAAGCTCTCACATTTCTCTTACTTCTAGTTGTACCCATCCACCAGTCCCAGATCTAATCCAGGAAAAACACAGCAATTTGTCAGCCTGAGATTTTCTAAACTACTTATCTATTTGAGAACAAGGCATCCCATACACAGCGTACAGATAGCTAACAATCCATGTAAGCATTTTATGATCATCTTTATTGGAGTCTGGTACTTTAAAGTTTGCTACTTCACTGACAAAGTAATCAAAATTCTTGAAATAATAATGCAGATTTCAGTGCCTATCAAAAATGGGGGGGAGATAACACAAAATCTGAGGTTTTCTACTGGGAAGAAGCACAAGAGTCCCCCCAGAGGCATTCTGCCATATCCACCTGAACCGTGCACATATTCAGAAGTCACGGATGAACCAATTCAAATGAAGAACTGGAATGGCGACCCCCAGCAACCTGAGAGGTGGGATGATAATAGCACTAACACCAGTCCCTTGCCAAATTCAGCACCCACAGGTGTCTGTGCTGGCACTATCCCACGGGCTTGTCACCACCAGCCAGGGTAAACAGGGCTGCAGCAGTCTCTGAAACAGATTCAGGCCTGACCCTTCACAATTCAGCCTTTTCCAAAGCACCGTGGTGTGTTTAGACAATCAGGTTGTTAACTTTTAGATATAGAAGACTATCTGGTGCACTTCTGTACTTTCCAAGTTTTAGAAAAAGCTGTTGCTAGAGTCTGGAAACAGTCTTAACTGGAGTGCTGAGTTGGTGTTCAGGAGTGGCAATACCAGCAGAAGGGATTTCAGTGTATAAAATAAAAAGTACCCTGTACTCTCAACACAGTGAAAAAGCCACATGTGTAATTATCATGCAGTGGTCGATATGCTTTAACACCCCCAACTTAAAATACAATAATTTATTCCTGTGCCCATTACTAACAACAGTTTCTTTTAAAGACATGCTTGTTTCCAGTAACACATCAAATCAATTTTTAAAGTTTATAAATATACAATGAAGGTAAACCAAAGCAAGATTGATTTTTAGTCACAAAACCCACTACCACACAACAATGGCATCACATCACTATTACACTACTAAATTAAACAAAGACACTTCAGCTGAGACCACCATTTTTTTCTTCACTTGAGGCTCTCTAGAGTTTTCAAAAAGAAGTTGCCCATGCAGGTGGCACTGCTGAAGTGTTGGGCAGCACTACAAATATTCACTATTAGCAAATGATGGCTTTTCTCCTAAAGCAGTGCTACAGACTCTTCCTTTCCCACCAAGAATATGGCAAACAAGTTAAAAATAATACCCTGCCATATTTATCAGAATCATCTTTCAATTTTAAAATAAATTTATTACTTCCTTAAATAGCATTGTGCATGTTGAAAGGTTTACACTGACTTCCAGAAGTAGGGCCAGTCGTGAATAAGTCTGTTAGTTTACTGCACAACACAATAAAGTATTTTACACCTATAATAGACAAGATTTTAAGAGCCAAGATCAAGCCACTTCTCCAGTATTCAGCCACTGACAGCTTCACAGCCTGTATTCAAAACATATGCTTCTCAAGGTAAGAGTTTCAAGGAAGTGAAGGAAGATAAATGCCAAACAAAACACAATGTAGACATCTAATAAAGTCTTCAGTACCTACGAAACAAAGATACTTAAGGCATTGAAGCCTGACCAAAATTTTTTACGTTCGGTTGCCTAAAATCTGCATTACATATTTGTTGAATGTCCCCAAATTTCTGCTTACTTTTAAACCCCATACTATAAGAGAAGCATGTCTATATATTAAAAAAATAGCACTTTTTTTTTTTTAGTTGCTCATTTAGATAAAGTAGTAGAACTAATTCTTCCTATCCTTAGCTTAACTGATATTCTCTGATAGGTTTTAGCAAACAACTACTTGAATTGCAGTGATAGACAAGGTATGTCCAGCTGCACTGGATAAGTGCACTTTTCAGACATACCTATTATGACGAGGAAAGGTACTTCTCCTATAAGACAGATCATTCACAAACAGGTTAAGCAAGAGCAACAATGCATACCATTAAAAAAAAAAAATCATATTTCAGGCAAAACACCACATATTATTTGGTTGAGTCAGTGAAGGATACATTCCAAGCTCTAAGTCTGATCCTCAGAGTTAAATTCAAGTATTACTTCCCCCTACATCCCACATGCACAAACACAAGACACTACCCACACTAGTTTTGAGAAATCAGCAAGCGAGTGAGAAGAGAGGAGGCAATCAGTATCAGTTTTGCTGACAAGTTTCAATGACTGAAAACTAAATTTGTTTGGGAAAGGTTTGAATGTTTAAATATTCGCAAAGTAGGAGACATTTAACTCCTTTATCTTAAGGCAAAGAGGTAGCAAGACACTCCTGAAAGAGATGCCACACAGAACACTATAAACACATATCATGTCCTAAGGCGTTGGCAATATCTGAGAAGGAAAAAACCTGAGAGCGGCTTACTCATACCAGCTTTCTGATATATCCACATCATATCTATTTAGCTGATATGAGTATAAACAACTCCTAAAAAAACCCCAACCATGCAAAAACAACTTTATTTTTGCCTTTCAATTTGCTCCTGTGGGTAACAAACACTGTCAGTTCCAGGAATGCTGTTACAGGTCTGCACAACATCAGATCAGAAACTATTTAAATTCACGTACAAGAACAATCTCTGCTTACTTTTATCTATGAACTTTTCATCCTGTCCTGGTTTTGGCTGGGATAGAGAGATTTTTTTCCCAGTATTCTCAATTACAGTAACTCATGCTACTGCTATCTTGGAAGGAGGATTAGAACTTAAAAACACAGAGGTCAAAACACTACTGGGATGTCACATGATTAGTTTTAATACTAGTGTCAATGGCTACATGGGCAGTGATTCTAACTACTTACACTCTCCATTTATGGAGGTTGACAAGCAATGGAAAATCAAGCATTTATTATTATCTATGGAATGCTTCATGTTTTCCCAGTTATAACTAAACCCTAGACTCAACACAGTAACAAGAGATTTACTTCTCAAAGATAGAAAACAACAATTCGAAGATACTGGTTAATTTGCTCTGCCATAAGGCAAATAAATGACACAAAAAAGCACTTCAAATTTGTAATTAACTACTAATCTACAGGCTCAAGACCTTAACTTGGACAGATTATCTTTACATTTAGAAGTGGGGGTGTGTGTCAAAAAAGCTACCATCAGCAAAACAGGAAAAAAACTTCCTCTTCCCATCTCCAACTCCCTTGCCTACCCAATTCTCCATAAAGTATTAAACTTTGAGTAGTTTGCATAGCCATTTCATGTGCTTAATTTCATGCAAAAGGTGTATAAATTGAAAACAAAAACTTACCAGCCCTGTTCATTCTTATATTTGTAAGCAGCACCAAGAATGTGACATAATGTACCTCCAGCTTTGAAATCCATGAAGCATTTTGCCTAGAACCCAAAAGAAAAGTGAAAACACAGTGACATTGACTTTTATATAATTATTTTAAATTAATACATACTCGTTATCTGAGGTTTAGACATCTAATTTATCAAATGCATAGTTTAATTTTCAGGTGAATCACTTTTGGAGTTCTCCATTCTCCTTTAAGAATGTCTTGAGAAGATCAGATGCATTTGGTTTAGAATTCTTCACGTTTGCAAGCAGAACCTGATACATCTGTAAGCTCCAAGTCCTTACTTACATGAGTAGCTTGCAAAAAATTCCTTGCATAGCTGTAAAACAGAAATCCAAACTACTCTTTGAACACCCATTTCACAGTAAATTAAACCTAAAATTGTAGCTGTCAGCTAAGAAGCTCTTCATCTGTATTAAGTAGACCAAATAATTAGAAATTAACATCTAAACCCCAGGCTGCATATTCACTACAGCTCCTAAAGCTCCCCATTCACGTCCTTCGTTCACCACAACAAAGAGTTGTTTGCCAAGATCTGGAAAAATCATTGTGCAGATCTGCCCTAAAATACTAAATCCAATTCGCTACTTCACTATCAACTTTAGCAGAGTCATATATTCATGAACAGGTACTCTGAATTCAAGAGCTCAAATTCAAACAGCCGCACAAGGAGACCAAAAAGCTTTCCAGAGTCCCCCTTCCTTAAAAAGTTTACTAAAAATGCAGAAGTGTTTCCTACACAGAAAGGCACACTTTTCTGATAAATTTTAGTTTGAAATTATCTTTGCTGTTTTACTAATATCGCTGGACAGGATGTTTGGATGTGCTCAGAAAAACTAAAACTACTGTCAAAGTCACCTTAGAAAATGGAAGACAACCAGATAGCTCAGCTGAAGCCAGGGCCAGAGAAAAGCAGCACTACAATCTATTTCCAGCATGACACACAGGGTATCTGAGCCTCTCAATATAGGATTTGGAACAGGAAGAAGAACACGCAACAGCATTGATAAACTAACCAGTGATAAAGCAAGTAACATGTGACATCCCGGAACAAATAAAAACTCTGGTTCCGTCCACCAGGCCTTCCCAGGAAAACAGATTTCCAATATGACTGATAAATCAATTTGACTGAACCACTAAAAAGTGATTTTAAAATAATTTTTTTTTTCAAGTTGAGATTTAAAAATTCATTTACAAACATGCACTCAAGTAAAATTACCCTGAAAGACTTCTTTCTATTGATCGCAAGGCCAAACTGCTTTGGGCAAGTTTTATACAGGATAAGGAGGACTTTCAAAAGGGTTATTAGGGCAAACATGTCCATTTCCCAGGCAACTTCAGATACATTTAAAGCAAGCAGTTCTAACAATAAACTGCAATAAGGCAGATTCATCAACCTAGCTAAGCTTCCACACCAGAAATGTATATTCTGCCTTGCGGTAGGGACCCCCCAGCACTCAGGAGGAAGGACCCCGCTACAGAAACGTGGTCCCACACCTCCCAGCCCTGGCAGAAGCACACAGCAGCCATCTCAAGGGCTACTCTAGACTTGACTCCTTCTGATGTTACTCCATTCAGCACCAGATACCCAACTATTTACTAAATAGGAAATTAAACCTATCTTGCTAAACATACAGGCCAGGATTTGTCTATTTTGTCTTTCTAAATAAAAAACTTGTACAATTCACAAAACAGAATTTGGGGAGCTGTTTAATGCCTGGGCTTCGGTTACCAGTGGCTTTCTGCAACCTGCCTTCTGCTGGAACTAGAGAAATCAAAGCTGGAGACACCCCACAGACAACAGCCTTCCTAGCAGTATTTCTACATTAGGAATGTTTCTGATCTACCTTCCATCTTACTTTTTAGATCAGAACAGGTCATTTTCTTTAAAGTCCATTATATTACACCTCAGAAGTATTTGCTAACACAAATGAATGAACACCAAATCACAGTCTTAGCATTGCTGACAAGCATTCTAAACTCATTCTGCAGCGAGGCAGCTAAAATGGTAGCATGGGATCTAAACAAAACATTGCCTTCCTTGGCTCTAGAGCTGCTAATGGAAAGCAAAGCAGTTCTGTGAGACATCAAATACACCAGTGTCCAAGAACAACATCAAAAAGATCCTTCATAAGCATTCAACAAGAACAGAACTGTTCCTGGTCTGCCATCTGTTTAGAGCCCTACTGTGCACACAGAAAGCAATAAAGAGAGCTCAAAGCTGCCATACGGGTACTTGCCAGTTTACAAGCCACATGCATTTCAGTACTATTCTTAGCAAACTGAAGTCCTCTATAGATGGAGCAGTCCCTGATCAGAAGCTTGAACTAAAACAAAATGTTTTAAACACACTGAATGATTTTATTGCCATTAAGACTTGGCTCCAAGCATACAAGCGTTGATTTACAAACATGCAAGCAAACACAAGCTAAAAAGAAAAATAAATCTCTATGTGAAGCCAGAAGACCCGTTGTAAAGAATATTTTTGCAGCTTGTATGGAAGTTGCTGTTACTTATCTTCAGCTGTCCTACATGTGTATGGCCATCCAGAATTGACCTTTCCCTTTGCTGACGTGCTGGCTGGATCCTGCAACTGGATGAAATTGCTGCAGCAAAGCCTATCTCGTCAGCATTTTGGGAAACCCCTGATCCTACTGTCATACCCAACGTTGCCTACTTCAAGTTCAGGGGGTGCTGCTGCTGCTTTACCTTCATCAAGCTGCTTGTCAGCAGCCCACACTGCAAGATTTAATGACAAGGCCACACACCTTTCTGCATTATCGGGGCAATTTGGCAAGGCCATCCTGCAGCCTGGCACAAGGCTTAGTAATCCAGGAGTCCCCTTTTAACCACTTTTTTGAAGTGTCAGTACACCCTAGCAAGACCTTCTCATCAAACTGTGGTTGTTGCTACTAGCATAAAAGGAAATGGCTTTTAACAATTAGACAAAACCTGTTACGCAGAAGAGAGACAGCGGTCAATAAACCAGATTCCCTTCAACATTTTAACCCAAAACATAACAAGTCAATTAAGACCAATGGGCCTTTTGCTGTCTTAAGAGTTAATATCTTAAAGACAGCCTTTATTTGAAACATGCAAAACTGCCTTTAAGAATGTTCATTGGCTTTTTCCTTTTTGAGTATGAGTAAGGTCAGGCAATATGCATTTAAATGCAATAATGAGAAGTCATGCAGAGAAGTCAGGCTGTAATAGTCCTTCATTACCTCTAGATCTACTAGTGCTCTAGACTCCATACTATACAACATCCTCGCCAACAACAGGACCTTAAACAGAAAATTAACAATCCTCTCTCAAACAGAAGGTCTATTTCATCCACTCAAAGCACTGAGTAAAATGTCTGAGCTTTATTTCAACAGATGGAGTCTGCAGTGATTCAGCTGCAGTCCAGGTCAGAGAGGTTTCCCTGGAATACTGATGGAAGAGATCAGCTTCCCTTTGTCACTGACTGCTCCAGCGTCGCAGAGCAGACACTTCAGAGAATAAGCATGAGGTACACTGGATAGGACTTGGAAAATTAATATAAAGGCTCTCACGTGAGCTGGAAGAACAACCTTGGTTTGACATGGTCTCCCATCAGCAAGTGCTCCTAGGGAGCCACATCCCGATGTTTTGCAGCAACAGCAGTTCTCAAAACCAACACAATCTCAGATAAACTGCACTGAGAGAGGAAACACTGCAGTGTGTATTAATGGAGAACAGCATCACGCAAGGAACAGACTATTAACAGCAGCCTTTAGTGATGGTAGTTGTGAGCTTAGTCACAAATTGAGGATTTTTGCAGTCACCTCCAGGTGCAGCACTCAAAGTTTTGATGGCTTGGGGGTATGCAGGAATACAATAGAAGACTGGCAAGGAGGATTGTAAACACACTCAAGTGACTTGCAACTGGGGTGTCAAAAAAAATGACAGTAATTCTTGTTTAGTCCTGTGTGTTTGACTGTGTTCAGATAACACAGGCCTGTGACAGACTCAGAGGCACATTATCAAACTTCCCTGAGATTCCTGCCCTGCTGCGTGAAATATCAAAGCACAGTGAAAAACTACACCTGCAAAAATCCCTGATATACAGGTGAAAGCAGCAGATTCAAGATCTTTTCTTTCCTCTCCTTTTTCTGGATAGCAAGGACTGAGCTCTATGGTGCCTCTGCCTGGGTGCTGCTGCAGAGATCTCCTGGGTCATGAAGTAATAAAAATAAATTTACTCTTTGTATTTCATCTGTGGATTTGTGGTTATTTCTGCATCCTGCCTGTGTCAGCTCACACAGGTTAGTTTCTTTTACAGAAGCATGACCTCCTCCTCTTCAACTTCAGATCCTCCCTCACCAGGAACATGGTAATACTGAACAGTCAGTGAGATAAGTACAAACTTCTAACCTCTTTTAGCTTCACTCAGTATCTTTTCAGTTTAAGTCTGCAATAGCTTTTCAATATATTTCTGGAGATTAGCAATATCACTTAAGACACCCCTTCACCTCCCCTCTCTTCCCAAGTCAGACATAATCCTGTAGAACCGAAGCATTCTGCACGTCTTCAAAGTGCTACGGTAGAATAACGAAGCCTCCTTGGCAGCCTGAATGAGTAGCTTAACTTACATGTCTAGAAAAGTGAACACTAACCTCACCTTGAGTACATATTGCATCTTCTCATAAAAACAATATAAAGAAAGATGTACTGATGAGTTGTCTTCTGTTGGGAGTAACTGAGAGCAGAGAGATCCAACTGCCGTAAACTTAAGCAGAGCAAATTTGATCAGACTAGACCTTCGAAACAGCAAGAACAGTGAAACACAGGAAAAACATATTTACAATGCCATGGAAATCTTTATTACCCATTTTTAAGATAAGACAAAGTGATTTAAGACTTGAGAGCACTCAAATGGTTTATCAACTTGTTGAATATCAGTACGGTTTTATGGTCTACACTGCCATATCAAAATAAAGCAGCACAATGTTCACCTCCTTCCCTAAAGCTTTTCACTATCACTGCAGTATCAGGCAATCAGAATGGAAGATACAGGGAACTAGGTCTTCATGGCACCTTGTGGTGCTTCTGCGTATATTCCTAAGCACCAAGAGACTCATACAGTAAGTCTGAAACCCTCTTTTTTTGAGGAAAACTTGCATGAATTCACACTCCTCACAAAAGTAGTTATATAAGCAAAACATCTGGGGAAAAAAAAAAGCCACCATAAAATAATAAAAGATACTCTTCTGTAAGTGGTAGACCAAAGAAGATAGTACTTAGAACAGTTTTCAGAAAAACTTAAGAGTTTATGATATTGTAATCAATTACAAATATTTCCAACTTAGTACGTCTATCTAAACAGAACCCTGGACTGCATGACCTTAGGTTCCCCATAAGAATTCTGTGGCAATGATAAGCAAAGACCTTCCTGCCTTGTCCCACAATGCATCTATGACAGCTGCCATGGCCCACAAAACCTGCTCTAAATCAGCCAGCTGGGTGCTTGATACCACGCTGCAGTCCTTGCCCTTCACAACCAAAACCCCCTCTTACTTTGCTCTTACCATTTGCCACATCCCTCTTCTCTCTACCATCTGTTTAGACTTCACGCTCATTTGGACAAGATTACTTTGGTGGCAGGCAGCATTCCAAGTGCAATGGGACTGATCTCTGAAGACAATCACTAGGGTACTACTGCTAAAGATGTGCCAAGTTTGAACTTTAAATAAGCAACCCTTAAAATGTTGATCCCGAGTGACCGGAAAGTTATCCTGGACTAATCAGGTAACTATGTGCTACTAAAGAACATGGTAAAGCCACTTTTCAGTGTTGACAGCACTGCAAATTTGAAGTTTAATCAACAGAAAAGCCCAATGGAAATGTTTGCTTTGGAAAGTGCATGTCATTCAGGCAGTTTAGGATGCATAAGTCCAAACAGATTTGACTTAAACACTATGAACGTGCCCAGAATCTTAATAGAAATTAAAACTTTTCCACAGGATTCAGGAAATTATTTCCAAATGTATAGAAAATAAGCTGTATTACATTGAAAAATCTGCTTTTAAGAAGGAGCATGCTATTTCAGCCCTTCCAGAAGGTGCATCACCAAAAGCCTCAGCCTAAGCACCCATCTCCCAATCTCCTGGAAGCACGCCAGCAGCACAGATACTGGAGGAAGAACAAAATATGCTGCTGTAATAGCAGCGGGTTAGCCCCAATACTCACAGGAAGCTTTGTAAAGGCAGGATTGGTGACATGTTTTCCAAAGGCATCTTCCTGGAATTGCAGCAGCTGCACCACCAGTCCAGCCAGTGTTTTATTGGTAGGAGCATCTGCTTGAACATACTGAAAGACAAATAACACAGGCTTACTTGGGCTAGAGGATAATAAAACATGAAGACTGGTTTACTAATTCCCCAGATCACTTTATCAGTTGTAGAGCAGTTTCAGATTTAAGGATCACCAGGGAGGTGTGTGTGTGGGGGGGTGCACGCACAGGAGAGGCACCAAGCACAAAATATTTTTCAAGCTCTAGTTTTAAAATACAACACGTATCTGTGAATCATCATCAGTTTATCACAGCCAGCAGTGTTTTACGGATAGAGATTAACTACTTCAATCTGATTTGTAGTTCCTAATAAAGGAACAGACTAATTCTGGCCCACACTTACACAAAGCTTTCTACAGTAACTTTACAAGCTCCTTCTGTAATCAACTACTACACTACACCTAAGAGCATCCATCTGGTACTCTACAGTGTGTCAGGTACAAACAAAAAACTGATCCAGACAACTACACATGCAATGCTTTGCAACAACCTAAAGATTTCCCAAGGTTACACTTCTAATAAAATACATATATGTAAAAGGGGAAATCACAGTATGGAATATCAAAAAAGTCCCATAGCTTCTGAGTTTTCATTACTCCTAACATTACAATATTCACTTAGTGGATGTAATCTCCTCACTGTGCCAGAAGACTTCTAAGAGTGGAACAAACATTACTGGGTCATGTAGATTATGGAGTAATATTAGCTACCCTATTCGTTTACCTGGGTAACACTATAACCACAAGGCCTTTGCTCTTCCCTCAAATCAGACTCTCCTAAAGCCCCTTAAAATTTTTTTTTGAGAGCCAGAACCCTCAAAAGTTTAAAGCAGTGGTGTTAAATCGCAGTCAAATCTGACTAAGCTTTCCAAATCTGTGTAGCAAAAGATACTACAAAGACAGTGATTTCCACGACACCTTTACAGTATCTGAATGCCTGGAGAGACACAAGTTCCTTCAGCACTTCTTAAGAGACAGACAGACATATCTATATCTGAAAAACTAAACCTTTGCAACTCAGAGGACACAAATACCTGTAAGACTCCCCAGGTGTCCTGCCCTGTGCATAAAACCTAATCTAGAAATATAAGCCTATAAAAAACAGAAGGATAAATTTCCAGAGCTGCATTTTTCTTAGCCCTCTTCCCTCCCCCCAGGAAAGGCAGGCAACTGTGACAATTTTATCCAATTACTAACTCCTATCAATTCAATTCAGCTACCACAGCAGCAGTAACAGTCAGTCTTTATTGCTGTCAGAATCCAGTTGAAGATAAAGACTTTTGCTCTTACGCTTTTTAAAAACCTCCAGACCCTCCTGATCCTCTGAGCTAAGCAACTATTTTCTTTGTAATTTTTGTACTAGAAGCTCTGGGTGCTGCAGCTGAATTCACCAGAGCGGTTTAGGCAATCTTTTGTTGGAATTACAGATCTTAAGACAGGATGGCAAAATGGAGCATATGACTCAGATGCCCCAGTTAATCCAACATCTTTACTGAAAAACCCATCCTAGCCTCTGCATTAGCTTACCAGGTGCTGCAGCTCAGCGGGAAGCCTGCCCTTCTCTTGCCTTTGTTACAAGTGGTAAAATGCTCCAGCAGGGAGGCACAGAATAATAACTAAACCCCCATTGCTAAATTTAACAGAACCCTTTTTATCAGTGTCCTAAGGGCTGCTAAACCAAGAAGAATGATTACCAAAATACATAGTGCTGTGTATTTTTATACCTGTTAATAAAAGGTTTATCTTCGATTATTTTTTAGAGAGTTTAAAAATAAGTGACTATCACACCCAGGATGCATTCAGATATAGCGTACCAATGCTAACAGCCCTAAAGCTCCCATCATTCTGCATGTTCAACCTCTGCACCACCACCTTACACAAGTCTGAATAAAACTCTTGAGCTTTTAGTTCAGCTATGCCAGTTATAATGCACTGAAACAACTGTAAATTAGAAGGTGCAAGCAAAACAGGTATCTGCTAAACTACAGATTTGGGATTTGCACAAATGAGAAAACAAAAGCATAGCAGATCAAGTGCCACAGGTCATATTAAATAATCCTGTTGCTACTACGAGGACAGCTTTGGTCTCTGACACATTCACATGCCACACATGTTAAACATGTTCAAAGAGCAAAGCCACTGCTTCCAAAGCCCAGCAATTTAAGACTGTCTACCCACTCAGCTGTAGCACTTCCTCTAAATACATATCTAGAGCAACAGATAGAAATTTTTTTTCCCAGTAAAACAGAGTACATTGTAGTAGTACACCTTTAGTTTTGCATGGGAGCCATTCTCCAGAAAGATTAAAAAAAAAATATATGCAAAATTAGCTTCTGCATGTCTTCTCTGAAGCTACACAGCCTTCATCATTCTGGCAACACTGAATAGAGAATAAAACTCATAACCACTGCAACTCATTTAATGGAGAAAAAACCTCCGTAAAGCTACATTTGGGGGTTTTGTACAGGGTAAAAGTCTTACAGCTTTTTTCACCAAGTTTAATGCAGTAATTTAAATTAATAGAGCACCCAGAATGCATAAAATGCAACAAGACAAAGTACTGATGGCTCCTACTAGCCATGAAATATAAGTATAAAGCAATTTTGTACTTATGGCCATCATTTAGAACAACCCAAAACAACCCATCACCAATCCAAAACCTTCTTTAGGACACCTAGAACAAAACTGCCTTCAGCATAACCCTCTAGCTAATGTTCTCTCAACTTCCAGTTTGAGGATCCCATGAATCATGGGAAGATTATTCATGAAGATAACCAGAGAAGGAGTTTATTCTTCACACAAACAAGCCAACAAAAACAGACAATTAAAATCAATATGGAAATAGTCCAAGTTTAGGGTTTTCTAGTAGGGTTTCTTTGTCACTTGTGAGAGTCACCAAGACAACTCTGCCTGATGTAAATACATGATGACTTGCAGCACCCAGCAATGCAACTGCAGTCAAAAACTGAATCCAGAAGAGGTGGGATTCTTGTATTGACTTACTGTCAACTTCCAAACCTTTTCCTTCAGAAAAAAACAAACCCAAAAAGTCTATTCTTATACATGTGAAATTTTTCAGGCACTTATTCCTTTACTTGTAGATCCTATTTTTACCTCTTGCGGGAGGCTGGAAGCTATCAGAAAGGAAAATATCATCAGGAACCTCTGATTCTATTCTGCATTGCCCCTATCTCGAAAGTTTTTTTCACATGAATTTTATTCATTTGCCTGAGGCTCCCCCTAAATGATAAGGGAAAAAAAAAAACCTTCAAAAGGAAACACAGAAGACTCATCTCAATCACTTATGCACACTAACCAGCAATACAAAGGGATCTTTAAATTAGCAAAATCAGTAAGATGATTTCCTGATCAATGCACAGTGGTTTGAGGGGACCACAGAAGACTGAAGTCACAACCTATCTGCAAGTTTTCCACTAATGTCCACAGCAGACAGAAGCAGGGGATGATTTCTGCAGCAAATAAAAGGTTTTTAAACAACGAATTCCAGAAGACAGAAATGACTCCCTATTCCTAAACACACAGCTTTGGCATAAGAGGATTTTGTTCAAGTGCTGAAATACCAAAGTCTCATTGACACAGCAAAGATTTTTCTAATATTTCCATGTTAACTCAAAATACAAAACCACCCACGTACCCTTAAGCAGAAAACATCGGTCAGAAGTCTTTTGGTGTAACTCAAATCATTCAAGAACAGAGAGAAAGCACTAGCAGAGGAAATCACTCTTCACCAGCAAGATTTGCCATCACAGCTGCACTGCAAAGCCTTTGTCAGAGGCACAAGGGACAGATTCGCGTACCCGGTTTTGATGTGGTTACTGACCTCAAATAACCACATTACGGCTCAGTGTTGTAGCCCTGATGCACAAAATCCTTTCCTTCTCCCAAAACAAAGAACATTTCAGCTCACATCACTAAAGAACACGGAAAGGAAAACCAACACTAAAATACTTTGATTTAGGTTATAACCCTTGTTCCTTTTCTAAAAGGCGAGAACAGAAGAGAGCTGCAAACAGAGAAAATCCTCCCTCAGATTAAATCAATGTCAGTCAGTGAAGAAATACCTCCTAAGGTTAGTTAGCACTGATGCAAGAAGTCAGAGTCAGCCAAAAGATAACTACAAATCCTCTAAATTCAGGTGGTGAACTGGCAGGTGGTCTCCAAACAGACATCTTTGGGCATAACAACTGCCATTTCCTAACAGCTGCCAAGAAGCAGCTTGTCCCTCCTTGCTGTCGGGCTGAGGATTATTAATAGAAGGGCATAAAGGGATGCCACGCTGCTGCCCACCGTTATCATCCTCTGGTAGAACAGTCGTGCTCCACCAGCATCAGTCCAACACCTTACAACAGCACTGCACTCCAGTAACGCAGAAAAAAACCCCATTATTCTACCCTTGAAGGCACAAGTGGGTTCAAGATACTCAACAAACCACCCAAACTTCCAGGTGATACCACCTCCTCATACTCTGCATGGTTTAGCATCTACACGCGCAGCTCATGCTGTCTTCTCCTCTAACTCACCCTCTAAGGAAACACTCCAATTGTTCTTTGAAAAACAAAACAAAACACCCTCCTCACTGACCTCCCCCCAGAAAAAAAAAAAAAAAAAAAAAAAAAAAATCAGTTTTCCAATTCTGTTTCATAGGGGCAGGGCACGGCTTCCAGGGCCACCAAGTAGCTGACAATCCTACAGGCCAGTATATTGAACTGGACGAGATGAACACACTGGGAACAGCCCTTGGGAACTCCAGCTCTAAGGCCAAGGTTAGTTTCTGCATCCTTCATAATAGGTATAAAAAAAACCCCCACCAAACTATCTCAGGAAGATATTTTAAATACATGAAATAACTCCGCTTTATGCCATTTTGAGTAATTTGTTGCTTAATGGCAAAGGAACTGTCTAAACAATGCACAGTTGGAGATCACCGAGTAAAAAGTGATTTGCCTAGTTTACTTTTGAACTGTAAATTTCTACATATAGTGGCCACCTTGATGTCACCAGAGTTAGTCTACCCAAAT